AGCCAGCTGATCCAGCTTGTGACCTCGTGCTTCTTGCTCGGCCTCAGCAGCTGTGATTTCTTCCGGTACGGTCTCTTGACTATTACCAATAGCCTGCTGTGCGCATTCAGGTATCGGAAGGAGAGATGGCGCTAATGTCGGTTCAGTCGCGATGTTAAATCGAAGTTGCGCGGCGTTGGCAGTTTCCGGTTTGCTGACCGCCTGCACTGCGATCTTCTTTATGAGGATCTTGTGACAGTGTTTCAACAGCCACAAGAAGTAGATATGGCCATCGTTCGAAGTCGCATCCGATAGTTCTTCCTGGGCGTACCGATCGGCGTACGCCTGGCGCGTTCTCACAGCCCGCTTGTAGGAGTACCAGACGAACTTGGGCATTGTCGAAGTCTCCGTATGGTCTGCGATATGCTTCGCCAAGTCGAGGATCTTTTCCGTCGAGATGATGTAATTTGTCTTCGAAGCGGTCGAGGTTGTGGTCGCTTGCTTCGCTTGCGTTCTTGCGTTGCCCTTCAGTCGTTTCGAGGGCTGGTGGATCTTAGCTGGATCAGCGATGTCGTAGTTCCGCTTATGCGCAGTGTCAATGAGCCAGAAGATGAATCGGTTGGTGTCAAGCTTGTACTGCTCGTACGAGCCCGCTGTTGATGTGGTCGCCATGAGATGTCGCTTCGGCGGATTATACACAGGAAAGTGATGGTGTGGGGGTAAGACGTTGTGATATAAAGGTTGCAGTTGAGTTTGTGAAGAGCGTATAGAAGAAATGCGGTGAGCTGATGTGGAAATTTGTATTGGCTGCGTGGGAGTCGGCGAGCCAAGCCCTATCTGTAGAAAGGGAAACCCCGCAATGACGAAGGCCAATTTGCTCGAGTAGTGAAACAGGTGGACATGAGGGTTATATAATGCGTTTGCCTGACGACGTGCAGAATGACTGGCTAGAGAAGTCTTGAGGAAGGCGCGTTCCGTCGCTTTATACCCGTCAATTAATTGCGTGATTTGGTCAGGCGCACTGAGCAAACGACACTGCGAAGGCCAGCGCAAGCACGACAATCAGAATGTGAATTGCTAGTAGTCGGGTAATGAAGAAACACCTGTGGAATTGGAACCAAATCGCTAATAATCGTCGTCATAGTGGTAGGAAGGAAGGCCTTCCAAGGCCTAAGCCGAGTATGGGCTCCCCCAAAATTCCAGATCTGTTCAACATCTGTCCGTGGGTATGACATCATTGTCGAATTGGAGAGTAAAGCGAAATCTGACCGACGAAGAACAGCGTTAATGCGAGGACGGCAACAGTACTAAACGTGACGGCAACCTTTTGAACGAGTCAGAACATTATGTAGAACGGATGTGAGACGAACGCACCTTGGTATTGTCGTCCCACAGTGTTGGATGGTGCAGGTGTGTGGTCGCCGACCAGACATGCAAAAACATTCCAACGACCATGCAGACAGTAGCGGAGGTCAAAAACATCACTGGCATTTGCCATGTGACGATTTGTAGCAAGCTAGGTGTCCGACGTCCAGTCTTGGATGAGTGGCTTTTCTCGCCATTTGTCTTTGAAATTAGCTTTCGGATGTTGGCCAATCCATCGCGATGTGATGAAAGGCGGTGCAGTCGGACAGTCTGATCAGCAGCTGTGAGGATGCTGAAAAGCGACAATATGATACCGCAGTACCACGATGTGCGCACGGACCATGGCGATTCCTTCCCATTTGGCAAGATGTTCGGCCAGCTTCCGGTGGATGTGAGAACGCCAGCTAAAAGAGCGGCCTGTCAGATATTAGCATGTCGGCTGTTATGAAGAGCGTTAATGTTGATCGAGGAAAGCCAATGCAATGGATGGTGCTCGTCTTAGCCATCCATGGATGTCACGATCAGGTGTGAAGCATGCGCCATGTGGACGGCACGGCGCCGGTATTAACCGCCAAAAGAGATGTTCGGAAACTCACCACAACACCGACAAAGTTGAGCTCACTGAGCTTGTTGTCTCGCCATAACGTGGTAAGTTCGTCTTTTTCGTCTGCGTCTTCGGTATTGAGCAGTATCTCCAGGGGATCGTACGTCGTGGAGTCCGGAGCATAGATGCCACCACCAAAGAACTGTAGGACACTCGTCAAAGTCCACCTAGGGCCTTCGCTCTCCTGCCCTATCCTCTGATGCGCTGATCTTCCCAGGAGTGGAGTGCGCGAGCCGGACGTGCCTCTTTCCTCAGCATCGTTATCGTACGTCATAGCTCCTGAGCTCTCTTGGTTCTGGTGTAAGCTGGTAGTTCGTGTTATCGGTCCGGATGCGGTGGGGTTCCTGAAGCTTTAAGAACCTGGGGGCAACATGGGAGTGTTGTTACAAGTACGTGTTGCGCGGTAGCATTCATCCGGTTTCTGTGGAGGGTAGGAGGTCGCGTGCCTAGCCGTGCAGCCGCGTGGTGACGTATTTTGGCGCGTGAGCTACGCCAGCCAACGCGATCTTCACAGTATTTACCATTTTGCGCGAATGACACTAGGCTACGATGCACGTTGCTGCTGAAAGCACATCTGGAGATGCATCGTAATGGAGAATACCAGGGGAAGGTTGGTGTCTCCGTCTGAGTGGCTGGGTGTCGGCACAACGGCTACCCCGCGACATCGGGAGGGTTGACGCGCCCCACGTACACACCCACGCGTTGAGATGCACTACATCTGTTGGCCATCGCGACTGGCTCGACCCACATACGGCTATGACGTGAACCACTTTGCACCGCATCTCGCAATGCTAAAAACAACGAAGCTTCACGACATCACGCCTCCTTCCATCGCGTAGAATTTCCAAAATGTCGCAAAAGAACGACCTGTATGTCGGAACCGACAAGCACCGCTGGTGGAAAGAAGCGGTGGTATACCAGGTATGGATAACTCGCTGTTGTGCCGATGCAGATATTGACATGGCGATCAGATCTACCCTGCTTCGTTTCTAGACAGCAATGGCGATGGCTGGGGCGACGTCCCTGGTATCACACAAAAGCTAGACTACTTGAAAGACCTTGGTGTTGACGTGATATGGGTATCGCCAATCTACAAGAGCCCACAAGGTAACTCCTGAATGTTCAAAATGTATGCCATACGCATACTGACCTTTTGTAGCGGACATGGGGTACGACATTGCAGACTACGAGGACATCGATCCCAGCTATGGCACCTTAGCCGATGTTGACAACCTCATCAAAGAAATCAAAAAGCGTGACATGAAGCTCGTCATGGACCTTGTCGTCAACCATACATCGGAAGAGCATGCATGGTTTCTAGACTCGCGTTCATCGAAGGAGTCTTCGAAACGCGACTGGTATATCTGGAAGCCTGCAAAGTATGATGATCAAGGAAACCGCGTACCTCCGAACAACTGGGCGCAGATCCTAGGAGAGGCCAACTCTGCGTGGACCTGGGATGAGAAGACCCAGGAGTACTACCTATCGCTCTTCACGCCCGAACAGCCAGACCTTAATTGGGAAAACCCTGATGTACGCGCAGCTGTACACGATATCCTGCGCTTCTGGCTTGACAGGGGTGTCTCTGGATTCCGCATGGACGTTATCAACATGATATCGAAAGTACAGACGTTCCCGGACGCGGCCATCTCTGTCAAAGACAATAAGTACCAGCCTGGCGACAAATACTACGCCAACGGCCCAAGACTTCACGAGTGGTTGAAGGAACTTCGGCGCGACGTGCTCTCAAAATACGACACCCTCACCGTCGGAGAAATGCCATTCGTCCGCGATGACGACGAAGTCATCAAAGTCGTCGGTGCCGAAAACGAAGAGCTGAACATGATCTTTGTCTTCGATTTGGTCGACATCGACAACGTACCGGGCGATTTTAAGTACACCCTACAGCCATGGGATGCGCGGGACCTGAAGAAGATCGTGAACAGGCTGCAGCGCCTTATGCTCGAGCGCGACGGCTGGAACTCTCTCTACGTGGAGAACCATGACCAGCCTCGGAGTGTAAGCAGGTTTACCGATGACAGCGACCAGTGGCGCGAGTATGGCGCGAAGCTGTTGTGCCTGATGCAGACTACTCTCGCCGGAACGTTATACGTATACCAAGGCGAGGAGATTGGCATGCGCAACGTGCCCAAAGAGTGGAAACCCGAGGAATACAAGGACATTGAAAGCATAAACTTCTTCAAGAAGTACCGCGACCTCTACCCTGGCAATGCTGAGAAGCAGGCCTTAGCAGCCAAGATCATGGTAAGCACAGTGTGTACGATGGTAAATGAGTCATAAGCTGACTACATAATCTTATCTACACAGCAACGCAAAGCTCGCGACAGCGCCAGAACACCCATGCAATGGGACTCATCCACCCAAGCCGGTTTCACCAGCGGAAAGCCCTGGATGCGTGTCAACGACGACTATCCCAGCATCAACGCCGCAGCCCAACTCGCAAACCCCACACCTGCACCTGGTACACTCTCAGTCCACGCATTCTGGAAGCGCGGTCTCGAGTGTCGCAAGGAGAACAAGGACGTCTTCGTGTATGGTGATTTCGAGATGCTCGATATGGAGGATCAGAAGGTCGTTGCGTATCGGCGGTGGAGCGAGAAGAACGCCTTCATTACTGTGCTGAATTTCAGTGGAGAGCAGATAGCGTGGGAGAAGATGGGCGATCTGAAAGTCAAGAAGTGGGTTGCGGGCAACTATGACGAGAGGCAGTTGGATGAGAAGGCGAAGAGTGGGAAGCTGGAATTGAGGCCTTGGGAGGCTGTGCTGGGTATGTTGGAGTGAGGGCTGACTCAGTGGCAATGCCGGAGCTGTGTTGTTTCTGAGTCTGGGGCTTGCCTGAGTTCACGAGAATTGCTGATAGAAGGAGTTGCTTCGTCTGAATCAAGGAAAGATAGAGAATCAAAGTAGAGTTGCAGAGGAGCAAAGGTTTTAAGTAAAGTGATGAATTAAAAGTCATATCTCGAATCCTAACGTTCGTCCAATCCAGAGTCTAATATACAAGAAGCATGCGTGATGCTTCAGCTACGACCGCTTAGTAGTGGTCACCAGAGCCGGAGCCAGATCCAGAGCCGGAAGCACCGCCTCCAACAGAGCCAGAGGCACCGCCGGAAGCACCACCTCCAACTGAGCCAGAGCCACCAGCACCGGCACCAGCACCACCGCCAACAGATCCGGAAGCACCGCCACCAACAGAGCCGCCAACACCAGCACCAGCGTTACCACCAGCACCGGCACCGACACCAGCACCGCCGTGAGCACCACCGCCGATGGATCCTCCAACACCGGCACCAGCACCACCGTGAGCACCGCCACCGACACCAGCACCAACACCGGCACCACCATGAGCACCGCCACCGATACCAGCACCAACACCGCCGTTGGCACCACCGCCGACAGAGCCGTTTGCTCCACCACCGACTGAGCCACCGACGCCGGCACCAGCTCCTCCTCCTACACCGGCACCAGCACCGCCGTGGGCACCTCCACCAACGGAGCCACCGACACCAGCACCAGCACCGCCGCCGACACCGGCACCAGCACCTCCGTGAGCGCCGCCATTGGCACCTCCGTGAGCACCACCCATGAGGCCGCCGAAGCCACCGAGTCCGCCCTTGCCAGCGCCGCCAAGTCCGCCCATGAGGCCACCAAAGCCGCCGAGTCCGCCCTTGCCTCCAGCAGCACCTCCAGCACCAGCAGCGCCGCCAATGCCGGGGATACCAACAGAGCCGCCGAGGCCAGGAAGCTTGCCACCAGCAGAGCCACCGAGGCCAGGAAGCTTGCCGCCGCCGGGCATGAAGCCACCGATCATGCCACCGAGGCCGCCCTTGCCACCAGCAGAGCCACCGAGTCCAGGAAGACCGGCACCGATGCCGCCGCCGTAGCTGGGCTTGCCACCGCTGCCGCTGCTGGGAGTCTCATCGGAAGCACCAGAGTCGTAGCTGGGGCCTGAGCTGGAGCCAGATCCGTAGCTGGGAGAAGTTCCAGTGGTGATGGGAGCAGCTGGGGTGGTTCCCGAGCCGTAGTTGGTAGGGAGAGCAGTAGCGATGCTAGCGAGAGCAAGAACCTGAGCGATTTGGAACTTCATGTTTGCTGTTGTTGTTGTTGTTGTTGATGTGTTTGACGAAAGTCGAGTATTGGACGATTGGCGATATGAGATCGAGTAAAAATGTGATAGAAGTGAAGTGCTCTGCACAAACGATAGTAGGGACTAATAAAGTCGAGTATAGAGTAGTAACGAAAGTGTTGTGGAGTGCTGACAGCGAAAGTGTGAAGTAGATGAGATCAAAGCTGATGCCTTTTTACTTTTGGCGCTGGGAACATGAGGTCTTATACTCGAGGGTTCGGAGTCGCATGGTAGACCTTCGTAGGTAGTAGACAGCCGTAGTCAGTGACCAGACTGGCCCCTGAGCATGATGGTGGCGAGCCTCACAGTAGCTTCGTTTCGAAACATAGTGACTCTATTGAAAGAGTGATGAAGGGTTGTCTAGATTGTCTGTTTCACGCTATCTGTTGCGGGATCGACGGCAGGTAGACGGGAGATGCCTGAGCTGCGCAGGGTAGAGTGAGGGTAAAGCAGGTTAGAGTTGCGGGAGATGCCCCGATGTGCGCAGGGAGGGAAGGTTAGCCTGGCTTCTCCGCACCGTGCGAATGTGCAGCCTTGCGGCCTTGAAACTAAAGTGGGTTGAGCTCGGGTCGTTCGAGGGGAAAATAGTAGCGTTAGCGCATCCTTTATTCGTGATGTCGTCGAGTCGCACACCGATATGGGTGGTAGCGCAAGCAGGAGTTCGTGAGGTCGGCTATCTTGGCTGCAGTTAGGTGGTGGAATCCGCCGTTCCAGGAGTGCCGCTAGGCTTGTTTCAGCCACCACCACCACCGCGACTGACATGTGGACGTCCGTCATCGTCCGTCTCTCCCGACGAAGACACTCATCAGCACTTGCGATGACGAAGAGACGTCGCATCGAAAATAGCTACACGATGCTTACCTCTGTCCAGGTACACCGCGGCAGCCGGCTAAAACGATCCGGCCTGTGCGTCATAGAGTTTGAAGTGGTACCTGAGCTTGCCGACCGACGACTTTGGCCTAGGACTGCCCGACTAGTCCTCAAGCTTTAATTGCGCATGAGCCTCTTCCTTACTAACTACCCGGCAACATTCGCATCGTCGTTTCTGGCACATCCCTTTTGGGGTTCGGAGACCCTGTCGTCCGTTGCAAACAAACAAATAAGTTTATGCTACGGTTCTGGATCCCTGGAGATCTGCCATCATACCCAGATGCGGTGATGCTTGGATGTTTCGCCAATCGCATTCCAGCTGCTAGGATTCGATTTCGTCCTTGGAAAGACTGGTGCTGATGACGAGATTTGTGACAACGTGACGAGATGGACTGGCCGGTCTATCGAACGCGGAACTTACCTTCGCACAAAGCCGCGGACCTGCGTCGTGGGTGTCCCCTATTCTTGTTTCGAGACCATTCCTAGCTGCGTCTCCACATCGAAGAAGCCTATCCATGCGTCCAGACAGTCGAAGTGGAGTCGTAGTCACAGTGGCTCTTCGCTGTCGTGACTCGGCCTGGCAACGCTCACGCCAGCTTGCCTGACAGGCTGGAGCCGCACTTGCCAGTTCGGTACTTGTCGACAAGAAGACGACTACTCAGTATGTTTCAATGAGCCCACTTCAGTGCAAAGAGCTGCGCACCATGTTCTTGTTCACCGCCAGTGCTCGATGCGGCCAACTTGACATCCATTACCTAACGACGAGGAGCTACTCAACGGAATATGCTCTTACCGCCCAATGCAGTGCAGATGCCAGACAACCAGCCTTGCACACCAGCATCTTGCAGTTAGAGCGCGCGAAGATCCCAATCGAACGCCGCACTAGTCGAGGAAGACACCGATACCCTCATCACTGCTGTAGCCAAAGTCACGGAATCCCGGGTACCTGAACTATTGATTTGTATAGGCTTTGTTACCGGTGTGTGCTGTCAAACTTTGAGATCATCCTACGGGTATCGAAACACTAACTGCTCCATCAACGCCATCGCAAACCCAAAACAATCCAACAAAATCATCGTCTTCCATCGCACTGTATCCGTCCTATACCTCGCCATCAATGACGACACCCAGTTTAGTGGTGTCGCACTGATTGGTATAGTCTCCATCTCTTTCTTTCTACTCAATGTCCTTGCTCCCTCCCATGAGCCAAGGGCCGAGAGCCTTGTATAATCTATTGCGCATGTTTACTTCTCCCAAGGCGACTAGCAACGAAGACTGACGTCTCGTCCTTCTTCGCTGACCCGGTATTCTGCCAGCCGTGCTCGATCACGGGGGCGCGTCTGGAAGGTGTGGTGACGGGTGTCTTCGGTCCCGGTGTGCTCGAGCCGGGAACATCATGCATGCTGGGGGCGCCCTTTTTGCAGACCTAGAACGCATGTATGTTAGCGAGGCACTGGATGTTGTATAGGATAGTATTACCTTGAGATGAGAGCCGTGGAACCATTGCCCGTATACTCTGCCGAATTCACGCCTACAGTGGAAGCACGTAATCGACTGTGCCTTCGCCTTTGTCGGCTTCGACTGCTGGTAGCCAGTCAAACCGAGCTTACCCAGAAGGCTTGTCTTCTTCTCGGGCGCCCATTTCGCGAAGTCATCGCACTCGTCGAGATGGTCGCGGCAGGCATCCTGGCTATCTGCCACCAGGAAGAAGTACCCGCAGGCACATGTATCCTTTGGGGGCTTCTCTGGGGTCATCTTCGCCGGGGCGGGCGCGGTTGTAGGCGCCTGGGTGGGTTGAACCACCTGCTGCGCAGGTTGGGCGAGAGTGACATCGATGGCCTTTGCCATCTCTATGACTTCGGGATGAGCCTCGACAACGGCTGCAGCGAACTTCTTGATGAATGCACACTGGTGATCGACCGTTTCTTCCAGCTCAATCTTTACACGACGTATATCCATCGCCGTCCCAAGGCAGGGCATACCTTGCGGAAGCGTTACTATCGTTCGGTCAGTGGACATCGTCTGGTACAGGATGGGTTTACACTTACGCTCAGGGTCTTGTCGTCTTCTTGCCCATATGGCGTCATGGCAATCGTTCCTCGGTTTGCCGAACTTGTTCAGCACGGTTATCAGTTCCATGTTGACATTTTGGATGATGCCTTCGAGAGCATCCCATTCCCTCCCAATGGCCATGATCTTCGCGTCCTGTACTTCTACCGAGGCCTTCAGACGATCCGCACGGCGCTTCTCTTCACCTTCGGATGCTGAAGATGTCTGTTGTGGCGCTAGAGAAGAAACCATGTCGTTGTCCTTGCGGACTATGGCGGCGGCGTGTCCGGCGTGCAATGTTGCAAGCTCATCATCTTTGCGAGCGATGACAGCGGCGTGCTCGGTGTGGAGTGAGCCAATCTCTGATTCCTTGCCAGAGATGGCGATAGCGTGGTCGTCGCGTGCTTGCTTCAGCTCTGCGTCCTTGCGAGCGATGACAGCGGCGTGCTCGGTGTGGAGTGAGCCAATCTCTGATTCCTTGCCAGAGATGGCAGCGGCGTGCTCGGTGTGGAGTGAACCAATCTCTGATTCCTTGCCAGAGATGGCGGTAGTGTGTTCGTGGTGGGCTTTCTCCAGCTCTTCGTTCTTGCTGGATATGGCAGCGGCGTGTTCGGCAAGCAACAGCTCCAGCTTCTTAGCTTCATCGGCATTTTGGTCCCTAGCCAGATCGAGCTCTTTGCGCAGCTCCTGCAATTGGCTATCATGGCGAGACGTAATGGTGTCGAGCTCTTGGTCTTTGAGGGTCAAGGCGGCCGTGTGCTCGATCTGCAAGTCTTTCAGCTTATTGGCCTCGTCCTCCTTTTGCTGAGTGACCATATTGAGCTCTTTGTGAAGCTCCCGGACTGCATCATCATGACGAGATACGACGATGTCGAGCTCTTCGTTTTTGCGGGTTATAGCGGTAGCATGTTCGATGTGTAGACGTTCCAGCTTCTCGGCGTCTTCGTCCTTTTGCAGGTTTACGGGAGCGAGCTGATTGGAAAGGTACTCCGACTGGATACTGTCGCGAGCGGTGATGGCGGCTTTGAGCTCATCGTCTTTGAGCTTGATGGCGGTAAGGTCACTAAGGTGTTGAGCGCGTGATGCATCGAGTTCCGTATCCTTCGAAGTGATCGTCGCAGTGAGTTGGGTGCGCAGGCTCTTGACCTCTTCCTGTTGGTCTTTGTCCTTACTGGAGATGATGGCTGCGTGGTGCTCTTTGAGAGAGCTGACTTCGCGATCCTTGTCAGCAATGGCGTTGGCGTGTTGCGTTTTGAGGTGGGAGATATCGAGTTGTAGCTGGTGAATCTGCTCGTGGGCAGCGTTCAGATCGCGGGTCTTCTTCTCAAGACCCGCTTCACCGTTCAACTGCTCTTTGGCTGTCTTCAACTCAGTCTGAAGTCGATCGCACTCGGCCTCAAGCTTTACACGTTCGCGCTCGGAGTCTCTCATCTGGCGGTTGGCGTCCTGAAGTTCGTCGTTGATACTTTCTGCGCGCTCGTCGGCATCTCGTGCAGACTGACGCGTTCGCTCAATTTGAGTCTCGAGATTCGCCACTCTTCGAGAACTCTCGGTGCGGTTGAACTCAGCCTGTCGCAGGTTGTTCCTACATTCGCGAAATGACTCTTCGATTTTCAATTTATTGTCGGCCAGCTTTTGCAGTTGCGCCTCCAATCGGTGACAGTCATCCTTCAGATCAGATGCGCCGGTCCGAGCGATGTCGAGCTCCGCATTCTTGTGGTGAAGCTCTTCCGACATGTTGTTGTGACCGGCCACAAGTGTACGGATCCGGGTGTCTTTAGTCGCATCGGACCATGTAACAGACTCATGTACTTGTTTGAGCTTGTCCAAGTTTGGAGTGTGTAGTGAATCGTAAGTTGAGGGGTTGGTGAGGTCGGAGAAGAGAGAGTTGATGACGTCGTTCAATGCAGTAACCGATAGTGAGAGCTTGTTGTTTTCCAAGGCGAGCCGGATCTTTTCAAGCTTTTCCCGGTCCAGGCGAATCTTGCTATTATGAAGGCGACGGCTGACATTGTTCCGGTTGATCCGGTGGAGGTCTTTCCGGGACATGTTGGAGGCTTTCTTCCTCGCGTCTGAAAGATCTACCATCTTCGAGAAGCTCCTGTAGAACTGCTTACAATAGGAGAGAGACAGTTTCTGGGGTTTCTTCTTGCCAAAACACCAGACTAGCATCCCATGAAGAGATCGGACGATCCATGTGATGTCGATCGAGAAATCTGATAGACGGTCCTTGCCGGAGTGGCGAGAAGGAAAGCACAGAGAGTAGATGTAGATGAGTAGTGGAGCGAGTAAGGCAGAAAGTGCGTTTATTCGCCTGAAATTTGGTTCATGGAGTCAGTGCACATCCTACACATGGTTCACACTTGGGTATTACTCACAGAAGGGCAATATCGTCTTCAGAGGGATGCTTTTGCAGCTCCAACTCGAAGATATTGATGTGGAGGACATGGCGAAACAACACGTCAGAGACATGGTGGGCGACAGAAAAATAGGGAAGGACAATGAGGAGAAGAGCGTAGACCAGGAACATGGAATACATGATGGCGGTGGGGAGCGCGAAGCGCAAACAAAGTGATTGAGTGTATCAGGAGTAATCAGGGACTGAGTGAAGCAGTAGAAGTTCAAGAAATGAAGAAGAGGTGGGTGTTTTGGGTGGTAGTGTTGAGGGAGGGAGAGTCGCTCAATCGCGACACCAAATTTGCCATCGCGGAACAAAGTATCGGCTGTGCGAAATAAGCGAGGCGGTGTTGCGTCATTGAATCAGGTGAGCTCGAGATCAGATGGTGGAGAAGTGAAAGGGAAAGTGAAAGAGCGCGCAGTTCGCGTTCGATGCGTGGCCCGCGCGGATTAGGCAGGAGCGAGTGGTTGTGACCGGACATGGTTATCGACATGACGCTGAATCTACTCCGCTGTACTTGATAAGACGATACAGGCTCTCTTTTGAGTTATGAGAAGTAGCCTGTATACGTAATGCTTGAATGTGGAATTGATGTTGAAAGGGAGACACACGAGAGAACGAGGAAGACTGGACAGAGAAGTTGAAAGCGTACAAACGCGAACAAGCACATGCTATAGTAAACACCCTTCCTTACCCGTAAGATATTACATTATCGCGCGTCGGCTGTGGAAATGCGTGCTAAGATATATTTCCATCGTTTGCCATGGAGCCCAATGGAGCGTCATGTGCTCTTAATGGCCACACGAACTATAGAATTGCGAACGACGAGTAAGCAGCATGTTTGATCATTTGTTATGTGGAGCACAAGTACGATATGGAACTGATGAATGGTGTAGATGATGCAACGTAAAATAGCTCTTGGCTCACTATGAAAAGACCAAGTTCCTCTAAAAACTCGACCGAGAAGATGAATAAATCTTTCAAGGATTCGCTAATGCTAAACATGCGTCGACTGCAAGACCGACCCTAGACAAACATTAGTATCTGTCAACATGCATGGAATGAATCGTTGAAAAACTTACCGGCCCTCTTTCTGCCGCACGACATCGTCGATGACATCCCGGTCCAGCTGGGGAAACATGCCTGTCAGCGTCTCGACTACGACTTTGTGTTCCTGCCGTTGTATGCGCCTCGCTTCCTCTGCTTCAGCTGAAGCCTGTCGCGCTGCAGCGTCTTCAGCTGTCAACCTCTGCCTTTGCCGGTCTTCGTCATGCGACGGGCGTTGCTTCTCGCTCATGTTGCCGGGAAACTCTGTTGACGCACGTGGCGGTAGTTGTGGTTTCTGGGCTGCTGCAGGTCCAGACGGATGGTTTGTATCGTTGTCGGAGAAAATACGACCAATGGTGCTGAGGGGCCGTTGTATTGTTCGCAGTAAGCCTGCGACGGCTGCGTTCTCTTCCTCTGGCTGTTCCGCTTCGGACTTGCGATCCTTCAGACTTGTTGACCGTCTCGGCCCTGCGGTCTCTGCCTCCATTGAATTTCTTTGCGTGAGCTCTGGTCTCAGCGGTGTTGTCTTTTCCGCTATATGATGATAATGGGGTGATGGCATACGCTTGTGGCCGGGTGCAGTAGGGTGCAATAATGCGGATGAAGACGAAGATTCAGCCTCTTCAGCTGCGTGGCGTTCGGCAATGGCGGAGACGGCCGCTTCGACATTTTTCTCGAAATCCTCATTGGTCACTGTCAATGACGTCTTGTCAAGACCCTCGATAAACTGGATGGCGCCCATTAATGATGATATGTAGTAGCCAGCTTCTCCACCAAGCTTGTCCTGATTCCGGAACCGTAGAATGTATTGTACATTGGAGACGAGATGATCGGGGTTCGCTTGTAGTACTGTGTAAATGAGCAGTGGTACGAAGGCATCGGCTGATTGATCAGAGTTTGACGTCCGCAGAAAGCCAAAGATGACCTTGCAGCAGTTCAAGATGCAGATGATCTTGTCCCTAGGTGCCCGGTAGCTCTTGATTTTCAATAGCTCCTGTTGGGCGAGATGCAAAAACTTGCGGCCCTTCTCGCCTACCGGTTTGATGTCCAGATGCTCTTCGCTGACCCATTTGTATATGCGCACCTTCTGCGCTAAGACTTCATCCCGCTCTACATCCTCCTGATGCTGGCCCCTACGGCCTGGTCCAGGCGGCTCCTGTCTCCGTCGGCCCTTCCGGGGTGACGCTGGCTCTGGAGGCGGGATCGCAGGAGAAAATGTTTGTGTGTATAACCGATTCATGACTAGCTTCTCCATGCCTTCTCTCGCATTGTCAAACTCGGCGTCTGAGACGGTCCGCCAAACTTCACACTGTGCCATCTTCTTGCTGATGAATTCGAGGAAGTCACCAATGATCTTGACTTGCTCATGTACCATCCATTGCTTCTTTCCAAACTCGAGCAGGAAAGAGCGCAGGAACTTGGCGACGGGGTCTGCTGTCCGATGGCGTAGTTGTTCGAGGAAGCGGTGGAAGTCGAAGGGTAGGTCTGGTTCGGGCTCGGGTGCTGGCTGCGCTGGCTTGTACTTCGAGGCATGTGCGCTGGGCGATGAGGGTTCGGCGAAGGATGTGCCGGTGCCGACGCGATGTAGGGAAGATGTGCGAGGAGGTGGTGATTGGAGCGGGGCGGTCGAAGCCGAATCGTCAGCCGGAATGGGCAAGGGCTTGTCGAGCGGCACGAGACTTGATCTTCGCGGTGGGTACGGGGTCGATGGCGACTCCAGCATGGGGTTCGCAATTTCCAGTCTAGGAGACATAATTTCATTCTCGCCAGGCCCACCATCCCCTTGGAACTGGTCCATGATGCTCTGTATCTCCTCCTGCGAGTTATCTACAGCGTCGCTTGTGCCGTCGTGGTTCGTCCCATAGTCGTCGGCCGCAGCATCTTCCGAATTTCTCCCACTCGATCGTTCCTGCGACATTGGGGATGTGGTTCGGCTGGGCACGTTGCTGGTCGTGAGGTATTTGTCGTCTTTGGGCGGTGGGGGTGGAGGCGACGGCGATTGTATGGGCGCTTTCCCTGCTGATTTCTCGCTGAGCTCCGGCGGTGGTGTTGATGCTCGTTCCAGCGTCGTGTTCTCTGTCTTGGTGGTGAGCTCGTCTATCGGCGCGGTAGATGCTGGCTGCGCAGCTACTGCGTCCTTCTCTTGGGGTTCCTCGAGACCTGTTGGGGCAGCATTCGTCTCCTCTGATGTTTCAGGTGCTTTCTCTACCCCATCCGTCGGCTCTTCCTTGCCAGCATGCCCCTCGTCTTGGGCCTCGACATGGCTAGGCTGCCCCGCGTCCGTCGCCGTGTTCGCGTCATCCGTCGGTGCTTTAGACTCTGTAGGCTGCCCTACGGAAGGCGCGCTCTGGTTGCTCGCGGCTACATCGTGCTGGTCGTCCAGCTTGTCTAGCTCCCTTTCGGCATGGCTGTCGTGGGCTGCATCGGGTTGCGGAGTTGCGTTCGGGGGAGACATAGACCGAGTGCGACGGGGGATTATGGATGAGTTGTGGGTGGTTGATCAAGCGTCCATGGGTCTGGAACAGAGCTCACAACGGCTCTCGCAGGGGAAATATAAGTCAAGTGCCTTGGTGATTGACGTCTGCTGCGCCTGCGTGTGTGAATCGTCCGCATGGTCTCCCGGCATCTAGAAGCCGAGTCTCCGAGCCACCGCCGCTAGCGCGTCAAGCAACTGCAGCCGTGCCACTGCCAACACCAGACCTGCGTCGCCATTCCATCAGCCCAGCCATGTGCGGCATCTTCTTCTCGCTCAGCCAGACTGGACACGTGATACCTGACGCCAACACCCAGCGACTGCTCCGGAATAGGGGGCCAGACAGCACAGGGCAGCACCAGACCATCATCGAATCCAGCGCCAAGCACGTCCCAACGCGTCTTCACGCGACTTTCCTGTCCACGGTTCTTGCTCTACGCGGCAACGACATCGTTGAGCAGCCACTTAGGGATGATACGACCGGCTCCGTCCTCTGCTGGAACGGCGAGGCATGGAGCATTGCCGGACAGGCAATTGATGGTAATGACTCTAAGCTAGTCTTTACCAAACTTCTAGACGCATGTACTGGAACGCGCGAGGCGTCTATGCGACGCGTCATCGAGCTGCTGTCAGTCGTGCGAGGCCCATATGCTCTCGTCTTTTACGATGCATCGCACAAAAGAATCTACTACGGACGCGACTGCCTAGGAAGGCGATCGCTGCTCCAAAAGTCTACTTCTGATGGCACTCTTGTACTCTCTAGCGTGTGCGATAATGCCTCTGGTGAGTCTTGGGCCGAGGTGGAAGCCGATGGTTTCTATGTTGTAGACGCGGAGCTGGCAGATCCAACGTCAAACTCGTTCCCAGTAACGAAAGTTCCGCATCGCCGCTCAGATCAGGAAGAGGGCTCTGAGTTGTCTTTCGTAGGTAAGTCATCTGGCACACGACTTCTGCTAACAGATCCAGACTCTGCCGTTTCCTGTCATGAACCAGACTATCGACAGTAACTCTGCTGCACAGGATGCTAGGGCAGTAGAACAGCTAAGGGCGTCGTTGGAAAGATCACTCCAACTGCGCACTCAACACGTACGTGAGGCAGTGACTGGGGAATCGAAGCTTCGAGTCTTGGGAGGAACACGCGTAGCCGTTCTTTTCTCTGGTGGCCTGGATTGCACAATCCTCGCGCGCATGTGTCACGACCTCCTGCCACTGAGCGAACCTGTCGATCTGCTCAATGTCGCGTTTGAGAATCCCCGGATTCACTCCAATATCGAGCCAGACGCCAGTCCCTACGAGCTCTGTCCCGACCGTGTCACTGGACGATCATCCCTTGCAGAGCTGGTAGAGATCTGTCCTGGACGTGAGTGGCGTTTTGTCGAGGTCAATGTACCCTACACCGAGACACAAGCTCATCGCAGCACCGTCATGGCATTGATGCATCCCCATAACACAGAAATGGATCTGTCCATATCATACGCACTTTACTTCGCTTCCCGCGGAGTCGGCTTGTCGCACGTTGTGGGCAAGGCCGAAGCTGAGCCTTACTCCACTACCGCGCACGTACTTATTTCCGGACTCGGTGCTGATGAGCTCTTCGGTGGGTACCAACGACACGCTACAGCCTTTGCTCGGCGCGGGTACCCTGGCCTAATCGAAGAGCTGGAACTCGACTTCAGTCGTCTGGGAAAGAGAAACCTGGGTCGTGATGATCGCGTGATCAGCAACAGCAGTAGAGAAGTCCGATTTCCGTACCTCGACGAAGATTTCATCGCATTAGCCCTCCGTCTTCCGGTGACGTCCAAATGCGATTTCGGCCTGGGGCAAGTCACCGATAGCGACGACCCGGCACAGCTGCTCGAGCCCGGGAAGCGGGCACTTCGTTTGTTGGCATGGCACTTGGGCATGAAAAGAGTAGCTGCAGAGAAGAAGCGTGCGATACAATTTGGCGCTCGCACTGCCAAAATGGAGACGGGCAAGACGAAAGGCACGCATGTTCTAAGTCAATAAGGTCAGTCACTCTTTCGTTCTTGTTTTCCCTTTGGCTATGATTACAAACCGAGCAAGCGGTTGAGGCACCAATGCTTTTCCTCGGGGCTTTCCTATCTAGCAATGGATAAGACTTCCTCTACGCATTTGGTGTCATTGATTCGATATTTAAAAAGGCAAGTCTGAGCCTATCGATATTCCACGAAATTCAACAATCTGCACTTCGTTTGTACTAACACGATAGACAGTATCTACGTCATTCAAATTCGGCCGACGACAGATCCATCCTTAGTCTTACATCTGCATGATATGTGGCCCAGTCCATCCTACATACAGCAAGAACAGAAAAGAAAATACCGTTCAATTGCTGCCACCCCTCTCGCTTCAAATTCCCAGCCGATGGCCCAGACACTCCCATGATGATCATTAAATATGTTTCTATTCCGAGGCAAAGGAGTCGGCACATGCCATGGTGAAATTCCGGCTGGAACGACAAAGTTTCCCCTTTCAGACCAGGAGTCGAAAGAGTCGTGGTATAGCCGGTCGCGCTGCGGTGTTGTCATGACCGCCTCCAGCATGATCTCCAGCGTTGTGACCGCCGTGACCATGACCGCCGTGGCCTGCAGCATCTAGGTCTTTTTCATCGGGTAAACCAACATGGCTATCCATTTCATTTGTCGTATGTGGCGGCATAGTAGTGGTGACCGTCATCAGCGGTTCGCCCACAGTCGCCACAGTGGTACCCATCGACACTAATCTCAAAGCGGAGGTTGCGATTACTAACGAAAAATGGAACGCAATGAGGCAAAATACACCAGATGGTCGCATTCCAGCGCAGCCGTTCTTGATCCGAGTGTTCTTGAAGCCTGCCCCGTCCACATCGTGAGGCCAAGGAGACGGATCATACGGCACGTTCGCTGATGTTCTCGGTAAATCTGACGGCCAGCACCACGGTCCGGCACTGTGCGTCTTGGATGAGATCATACAGATAGTATCGGGAGGACAACAGTACTCCTGACAGCAAAGATCGCCTGCGTTACATGAACCATAAGTACCATCCTCCCGGAGGCAGCACTTTGAGGGTTTATATTGACAGCCGTTGCCACGAGGTTCCAATGGCTCACAGGATGAACGCTTGTTGAGGGATGAGGTCAAATTGCCCATGTCCGGGTTTTCTGCTCCATGGGATATTGGTAGCGATTGGAGGCGCGTGGCGGGAAAGGCCTGTTCGGAACTACCAGCCACAGACTGGACCAAGAGAAACAGAACGCGAAACAACCCGGGAGTCGTTATCCTCATGCTACCACTATTTTGCGTACTCGGAACGGGAATAATTGGTGGTATAAAGGCGTGGCCCTCAATCTCTTCAGTGCCTTTGTCATGCTTTTGCCAGCACATCGGACCGTTGAATCCATTGGCACAGACCGCGCCTTCATCGCAGCACATGTTCCCACAGCAGTCTTGGTTCGCAGAGCAGAGTCCATGAGTGCCGCCTGGTGCAGCGCAGCACTTGGAGTTGGATGCGTCGAAGCACAAGCCATCACAAGCTGATGTCCCACCGGGACAGCATCCTGCCGCCATCGTGCCGTTGTGTAGCTGGACTTCAACGCAGTTCTGGGTGATTTTGCAAATGCCCCTCTTGCCGCAGCATTGCTCTGTACTCGGATCGTAACAACCTACGCTGCCGCATGGGGAATGGAGGGGTGGGCACCGGGATGTGGTGGATAGATGTGCAGACGAGATTGCTTCGAGAGCCCAGCTTGAATAGGCGGGGCCTTCAGTAGGATGGCCTTGTTTCGCTACGACGTGGGGTGAGCTGGTGGATGTAGGGGCAAGGGGATGTGCATGGGAGTGCAACCGCGTCGGTGTTGGCTTGAGAGACTCGGAGAGTGTTTTAGTAGTATCTCCTAGCGAAGTGCAAAACATAACAGGCAGAAGCAAAATGCTTGTATAGAACAACATGTCGATTTGAAAGTATCAGTAATACTGTAAGCAACAAGCACTGAACAAGCATTGATCGTGGTACGAGGACGAGGGGATGTTGTATCGCGACCTTCTATGTCGATGCCACCACGTCGACTTCATCGTTTGACATTGAATGCATGCCTCTTCAATTATCTTGAAGACAACTCTCCTAGAGTAAAAACGCATCATGGTTGTGTAAACAGCACTTGCCAGCGGTCTTCACATGCCAAAGTCGCCTAACGAAGATCAGTGGCAAATCACGTTCTTTGGAAGATTCCAGCCACACCTGCACCGCCACAATGACGCAACACCAGTCATTCGTATAGTAGTATATAGTCCCCTCACGCGTTCCTCGAATCCTTCCCATCTTCCACACAACCCCAACAACATTTCAATCTCGAACCGAATACTCAAACTCTACACACCTTACAAACACCACAAAACCCAACCAACAAGATGCCCGTCCCAATGCCATCCGCAACTTCGCAGTCCAACTCAGCGACCCAATCTTCAGCTGCTGCGCAGGCTCAGAACGACATACAGAACGCCGCTACACGAGCTCTGGCGAACGCGAACAACGGCGAGAAGACTGAGCAGGAGAAGGAAGCCGAGAAGCGGTACGAAGAGGCCATGGAGGAGGAGTACGCTAAGCGTGAGGGCGGAGCTTAACCTCCAACTCATGACATACTGGTCATAAGAGGAGGGAAGAAGACATCACAGGCTCAGAACGATACCCAAACATAACAAATGGCACACCCACATAATGTTCAGAAACCTCACAGTTCAATTCCATTTTCATTTCATTTCATCCCATTCCATCCCATCCACCATCATCAATTCCCCTTCAGCGCCTTCTCCACAACCCCCCTCGGCCGCTCCCCCATCGGAATCTCCAACGCAAGCTCATGCCCCCTCTCCGTCATCTTCCCCCACGTCTTCTGCAATATCTTAATAATCTTCTCCTCATCGTGTTCCTTCTCAAACGCCTCGAACTGGTCATCCAGAAAAACAAGACACGCTACGTCTTCCAACACCATCGTCTCCTCATTCACTTTGAGGTCTTCCTTGCGGATCAAACTACCGACTGTTGACGCGTCTTCAGCGGTGTATCCACTATCGAGGCAGATTTGTTCGACCAGCTCGGCTTGTCGTTTTTTGAGGAAAGTGCGCCAGGCGTGGTAGCCCGGGCGTGTCATGGGGTAGCTGGCGCGAGGCACTTCCCAGCGCCGGAAGTGTTGGGCGCGGATGGCGAGGCGGAGGGGCTCGGAGGCTGAGGGGGCGCGTTTCTCGAGGTAGGAGGTGCATTTCTGCGCGTAGTGCAGTTCGTAGGGGAGGGAGGTGGCGTTGATTGTGACTTTATTTGGGTCTTCGGCGTGGGCTGCGTCGATGGCGGTAAGGGCGCGTTCGAGGGGGGTGGACATGGTGGTGGTGGTTTAGGATGCTTCAGGTTGGCTATGGGGGTCGAAAAAGTGTTGCGCGGTGTTGCGATGCGTGCGCGAGGGTGATGTAAGGCATTTCGTCTGGTGTCAGATTGGTTGCTGGGTGTTGCGCAGAGATAGCGGCGGATGCCCCGCGTCAAGTGGGGGTCGACCCTGCTTGCCCTGGCGATCCCCGGCCAGGACGCGTGCGCGTCGTGCCCATCCGCGACATCACCACGATTCCATCTGCCTCCTCCGCGGCCTCTTATGCGACGTCACTGTGCACATATTGCGTCCTTCTCCCCCTGTTCCTCTGCATCGCGTCAGTAGATGCGGTGGCCTTTGCTGATTGGGCAACGACGACACCGCTGTTCTGCCTCTCCTCGCCTCGAACATCAAGCCACGAACGTCAAGCCGCTCACCTTGTTTTTCAGCCTCACCATGGCGGGTTCATTAGCGAACCGAACCCCAGCTTTTGCCATGTCTCCATCACATACTTACGACCTGTCAACAAAATCTTCTCTATTCACTACCTGTCCCTTGAATCATACTTCGTCTCGCTGCCATGGACGTGGATTGGACCGTACCGATTCACCCTGATCATTCCGAGCAAGGCATGGACCAAGGTACGACACATGACACCTTCCTGGAAGATCAAGATGCCATGGATACGATATTATGGGGGGATGTACCCATTCTTTCAATCGAACCCAGGCCCGGCTCAGAGGACGCAATTGGTCTAGGAGCAGAATCGATCATGGACTGGGGATGTTTGTGCGACTTCCCGCCCCTGTACTGCCAACAGCACGGCGTACATGGTAATTTCTCCGTAGACAACGACTTGCCACTACCGTCCTTCGGCCCGGAGCAGACAACCACGTATCCCGACAATGTTATGGAACCGTTGGAACTCGCTCCAGGATTTCTTGAGCTTACCGAAGCAAACCGAACTGACCATGTTCTATCTCCGAGTCCATTTGAGATGGGCCATGCAAGACCGAATTTGCCTTCGAACGACCAGACTCACTCATATACGGCCAATCACTCTCGCGATCCGATCAAACCGCTGGTAAAGCAACCATCACGACGCTCAGACATATCTTCGAAGAACAGGACCATCTTGTCAGCATACTTCTGGAAGAACCGCTACCCTGACACACGCGAGATGAACGAGTTGCAGAAACGAACAAGTCTGGACAAGAAATGTGTCAAGACGTGGTTCAGTAACGCCAGACAACGGACGGCTCGTCTTCGTACGTTGCTTTTACTTCTTCTACTTCCAACAGCTATTTGGAAACCTTGAAATATCCAGAATGCAACAGCTAATGTCTTCTGCTAGGTTCTCCGGTTGCTTCATCACCGCAAGAAAGTCGAGAGCGCTCAGTATCGGAGACACCCTCGCAAGCATCGACGTCCGTCTCAGCCGAGAGTCTCAGGGAACTGGATCGAGTGTCGCCCGCCCGTAGCACAACTTCTCTTGAGCGATATCTCGCGGCACCTCTCACCGAAGAAGCGATCCCTTCGACTGCTATTGACCTACTCAAGGATAATTACTCTTTGATCTTAAGAACGGGAACAACGGAACAGCTGATAGCTGAATTGAAACGCACATCGAAATTCAAGCATCGGATCCTTCGCAGGACAAATACGATGCAGTCTGAACTCGAAGCACCGAGACAATACAACTCCCGAACTCGGAAAGATTCTAGACTCAGAGCCCGGATGTCGCGAGCTCTCCTGCCTACAAACGATGTGGCTGGTAGCATAGCTGGCTCGGATAGTTCAATGACTTCTGTGAGCAGTGCAGGAAGTTGGATCAGTCAGACTTCTGTCGATTCCAGGGGTTCACGCAAAGGCCGCAGAAGCTGGGTGCAGACGCCGGATCAGCTCAACGCTACAGCATCGCCCTCAAAGACAGAAGAAGGAAAGACGTCTGCAACTACCGAGCTTCGAAAGCCTCATCCATGGTACTGCACTTGGCCGAGCTGTCTCAAGTTCTTCCAATTCCGCTCTGCATGGGACCGTCACGAGGCAGCCGTGCACTACTGGCCATACCATTGGGTCTGCAACCTGGGCGAACAGCCTTCTATGCTCCATGAAGACGCCGCATCCCGCATCTTCTACCGCGACGACCAGCTCTTAGTTCACATGAGGGGCCGCCATCATGCCAACGTCACCAAGAATATCGTTTCGACATTAAGACAGGTCAACCCAAAATTCGATCGTGGTTACTTGAGGTGTGGATTCTGCTTTCAAACTCTGTATAATTGGAAGGGAAGGCAAGATCATGTTGCTGCTCATATAGAAAAGGGTCTGCCCAAGTCCTCATGGCTGGGTTGGAAGAAACTGGTGTTGGGCTCGCCCAAGGATAGGAAGCCCGGCGATGAGCTTGTGCTTCCATCGTGGGATTTCTGGAAACAGTGCCACGTAGATTGCGAATGAACTGATGCAAGTCACTGAGATTTGCCTTCCATATATGCTTTCTCACATAGATGATTCAATCAAATGCCCCTTATCATGTTCAACAGAGTGTACATTGAAATCACACTTCTATCAACCCCAATTCCCTTGCGACGGATCCTGCGTCCACGAATTGCTATGCTGCTGCTGTAAAGACGGTACTTGGAAGTAGCTATTTGGATCTTGTTGCTGCTGCTGCTGCTGCTGCTGATCTTGCTGTGCCCATCCATTACTTTCCTGCCCCGATATCGAAGACGCACCAGGACTATGGCCCTGTCCCTGATGCGGCGCCGGAAGTCCCGGTCCGTACACCATCGCTCTTCTCTTCTGGCCACCGGAAGGTTGTGGCAACTCCGGCACCGGCTGAGGTGACGGTGTAGCCCACGTTTGCTGACCTGGGCTCGCATCGAAGGTCATACCGTGTGGTTGTGGACTATGACCGGAGCCATCGTACGAAGTGCCGGTGTAAGACATTGAGCTGGCGAAAGGACTTGATTGCGGGAAGAGACTAGGTGGTGTCGTTGGACCGCCAGGATACATCAGGTTCGGCGCTTGCGGCGAGACGGACGGCATTGGTAGCCATTGCGGAGGGTAATCGACAGGCGGCGAGAGTTGCTGTACTGGAGGTGAGGTTTGTGGGGACGTCTGCTGGCGTTGGTAGAGCTGCGCAGAAAGAGCGGCTGACTCTCGTTGGAAGCGGTCACGCCAGTGAGTGAAACCGAATCTCAACCCGAACTTAGAAAGTACAGATGTGTAGTCGTGGATAGCGTTGATCGCCCGAGTTGTAGGATCCAACGGCGAAGTCTGCCCCTCTGGCAGCAGTGGCGACGGGAAAGGTGGTGCACTGATCTGCGCGGGTGGTGCGAGCGGATCTTCCGATTCCGTTTGAGGGGCCAATGGGGTTGGTGGTACTGGCGGTCTTGGGTCTAGGATCATTTCCATGTTGCGTGACAACACATCGACAAACTGCCGGCCTGTCATGTACGCACGCATAGCGTCATAGAAGGTGACTGGAGGTTTGACTGTATGTGACGGCTTATCCAATACGGCCAGCAGATTCGTGGCATATGCTATGCAGTGTTCGAAGATCAGCCGTTGCGCATACTCGTGGATGTGGGGTATTCGCGGGCTTGGCGAGAGAATATAAACATAGCTGTAAAGGAGTTCGAGCTCAAAGAACGATTTTACGGCGGGTAAAGTGCTCTGTGGCATATCTTGGAACCACTCCGACATCCTGTTGTATTGCTTCCAGATGTATTGGTAGGGTTCTTGCCAAGGCTCGCGACCAGATTGGAAGAGGTCCATATACCACTCGGATTGTATCTCTCGTATCCTGAAGAGATCAACCGCGGTATCGAAAGATTGTTGGAAGACTTGAGATGTAGGCGAGGCAAACTTCGGTGATACCGAGGCGTTATAGAATGGAAAGCCGACGTGTGCAGCCTCGTCTGAGAATGAAAAGGCGCGAGTCTGGACGAGCGATGTTGATCTACCACATGATTAGCAAGCAGAGAGAGAGAGGAAGAGGTGCGGCCTTACCTGTCTAGAGAGTATACGCACCAGTACACTCTTCTCCGGATCTCTAGCTTTGCTCTTGACATTGCAACATTCTTAGATGGATCTTGATGTATACCAAGATCAACCATTGCTCTGGAAGCTGCGCCCACTAGTGTCCAGCTATCAAAGTGATGAGGATCCATAGTAGCATAGATGGTCCAGAGTATCAAAGCTTGAATGCTAGAAACGTAGCCCGGATGTAACACGTCTTCGGCATTTTCTAGCGCAGCATTCATGTGACCGACGGCATCAGAGTAGTGGGTGTCACCTCTCGATTCAGACTGGGAGAGACATGCGATGGCCAAAACCATGCGCACGCTCCACCGATCCCAAGGTTTCGCATTGTCGCCTTGCTGGTAGACGGCATCCACGGAGGAGTAGAGGGTAGCCTCTTCGAAGACTGGCCAAAGAGTAAAGATGTTGTTCAAGTAATGCTGAATCAGTGGCGTTGCTGCATACTTTGGAGGCAGTGCTTTGATCAAGTCTGCAGGTAGTGGCTCCTTTGCGCTCGCAGATCGTATCAGTCGGGCGTACGACATCTCTGTTGTGAAGCCATAGAAGTCTCTCGCAGTAGCATTCACAGCACTTGAAGAGTTAGTGTAGTACATCAAAGTGGACGTATTGCACTCACAGAAGACCGAAATCTGACACCAGGTCATCAATCTCTGATGCTTCCTTCCGTCGTGCAGCTCTTTTGCTGATGGGTCTAGTTGCTTTTACGGTATCGACAGAGGCTCTACGCGGGGTCGAGTTTTCAGACATGTCTAGCATTAGAACGCCTGAAGACTTCCGCCTCGCCCGTGCTTCCTGGATCTTCTTCTCGAGCTTCTCGACTCTGGATTCCAATGTAGCAACATAGCTCCGTTCTTTTCCGCGCGCAAACTGATCGTTCGTGCTCGAGCACTCAGAGGCCCGATTAGACTTTTCACAGGCGGTGCATGCGGGCAGCTTTCCATCGCACTTGACTTTTGCGGCTCGACATCGCGAACAAGCAGCCACGGGTCTGCTCACCCGGAGCAGCGGCGTTTCCAGCACCATGTTCCTTCTATCTTAGGACAAGTAAGTATGCATCGCGTGGTCACCTGACGCTGGGCGGATTACAGTGCGGAAGGGTTCAGACGAGGACTGGCATAAAAAGGAAAGCGGAATCGAATGAAATGGCACTAGGCACGATGTATGAATATCGCTGTAGACTACATGTTCAAAGACGGTACGGAGAGGGAAAGCCCTTGGCCTGACGATCGATACAGACGGGACGGCACTTACCAGCTCGGTGCAATGCACGTTGGGGGTCTAGCGCGACGATGCAAAGAATCAGGTCCGCGGACAGCCTTGCCAAAAAGGCGGTACAGCACGCGATGTATTTGGTGGTTTGGCGCTCTCGTGGTGTTGAACAGCGGGTTGACGGGTGGCGTAGCGGGCTCGCGGTACCCTGGACTTCGTAATGCCGCGGCTCTGTGGCCGAATGGAGAAGCGGCGGACGGCGGTGTTGCCCCGCTGAGTCGGCCAGGGAGAAAGCGATGCTGAAAGGGACGGGTGTGACGCGGTTGCGAGCGACGGGATGAGGATAGACGTATGCTTGGCCGAGCGTTTGAGGCCCAATTCCAGGAGGCAGCCTATCAAGGGCCTGGTCGCGCTTGATGCCCACGCTGCACGTCTTTCTTCGGCTCCCAGAGTTTGGACAGAGGCCGGGCCTGTCACCATCAGCCTACGCCGCACCAGCGACGGGGGCGTGTCATGCTTCGACTTCCTTTTGGCGCCGTCTGATTGGGGACGCTCGGTAATGCGCAGGCGTTTTTTGTGGCCCAGTCGACGTCGCGCCTCGTTCCTTCTTCCTGGTTAAAGATACACCCACCGGACGACACTCCGGTGGTACTGCTCGGCTGCTCCTCGACCCAGGCACCGCTACCGTATTCAGGAACTCGCTCCCACATCGCCATCTCGACGGCCTCACGGACTGAGGGCGCAGGACCAGACCTTGCCGGCGCGACAAACCTCCCGGGCATGGACGTGCGCGTCGATCTCCCCCACATCCCAGGCGCATCATAAGCCAGCTCCCTCGTCCTCCTCCGCCCGTGGTGAGAGACGAGCGATGGAAGTCGCGACTGCGACACACACCAAGACGGAAGGGGCCCCGCACCCGCCGGAGGAAGGCACCACCACCACCGGCCAGAGTCGCATCGCCCACACTCTGACAGCCTGCTGTCGTTGTCGGACGGTAAGCATCATACCGGAGCTGGCTGGCTACGTAATGTCCACTGACCAGAGCCCAGCGCAAGACGAGATGCGACCCCGGACTCCCTCGATGCGGGCCATGCGAGCGCACCAATTCCCACTGCGAATACTACGACCCCACCAAGGGACGCAAAATACCCCGGAACTATGTCGTGCACCTACAGCAGAAGGTGCGCGACCTGGAGAAGCAGCTGGCTGATCTCGAACGGGACGACGTGGAGCCGGACCCTGAAGATGTGATGCGTGGGGCAGCCACAGTACGTGTCCAGGACTCCGACGAGTCCAAATTCCTAGGGCCTTCCAGTGGTATCACCATCACCCGGCTGGTGATGCAGCTGGCGAAGCAGTTCACCGAGTCAAAGAGCATCTCTGAGATCGTGCCACATGCCGAGGCGAAGAACATCAAGGACACCTTCGCCCAGGAAGATCAGCGACCCACCTCCAAGATCTACCCCATGGTCAGCGACGTCGCGGCCGAAGAATTGCCCAACAGAGACCTCACCAACCTACTGGTAGAACTCTTCTACTGCAAAGGCGCGTAAGGCTGTCTCCTTGTCACCTTAATACCAACTGACTTGACTAGTGCACCCCATGTATCCCATCTTCCACGAACCAACCTTCACAAAAGATGTCGATGAGGTCTACAACGGCTCAACGGATCCCTACCAAAACTACTGTCTGCGCATGGTCATCGCCATCAGCCTGCAGAAGATGGACACACAGTATGCAGGTCTCGCCGACAGCTACTATCTCGCCGCCCTGAAATACTTCGAAGCCGCCATCAAGCCTATGAACCTCAAGACCCTGCAATGTTTTGGCCTAGTCGCCGGCTATTCGCTCCTGACACCAACGAGAACCGCAGTCTACTACATAATAGGTCTCGGCGTGCGCCTGTGTCAAGCCTTGGGCCTACACGAGGAGAAGACTATCAGCATGGGCTCTGGCGGACGTCAGGCAGACCCTCTCGAAGTCGACATGCGCCGCCGCTTGTTCTGGAGTATACTTACCATGGATTACGGCTTGTCGCATAGTCTTGGACGACCCGCACATTTCGCGACACGGCGAGAACACATCGATGTCAACTTCGGCGAGCTTGTCGACGACGTCTACATTACCAGGGAAGGCATCAAACCTGCACCACAAGCATCGCTCAAGAAATGGATCGGTATACATTTCTACAAAATGCGCCTGCTTCAACTCGAGATACGCAAGATGCTGTACCAGAGGAAGAAGCCCGAACCAAAGGACGACCAGCACCCTTGGTTTGCTCAGATGCAGTCGAAGATCGAGGCTTGGAGGGACACAAGTCCTGAAATGGACGGCGGATCAGGGCTTAACAAGGTCTGGTAAGTATGTCTTTCTGCATTCAAAGTACGTCGACTGACTGGACTAGGTTCATCGGTCGATACAATACCATGGTCGTCTTCATGTACCGTCCTTCCCCACAAGTACCTCGCCCGTCCCTCGACGCCGCCATCCGCTGCTACGACGCTTGCCAATACAACATCTATATGACTATGAAGCAGATCGAGACCAAGAGCGTCGACGTTACCTGGATCTTCACACAAGCCATCTTCATGTGCATCAACACCATGCTTTGGACATTGTCATACTCCGAGGTGCGAAGACGTCATAGCCGCGAAGAGGTCGAGGGTCATTTGAAAGTAGCCATGGAGTCGATCAGACAGGCTTCCGAGCGATGGCCTGGTGTGCAGTCTGCCATTGGTCTCTACTACAACTTGATCCAAGCCTGCATGAGGATCTTCGACAAGGATGGTGACGTTCCCATCTCCGCCAGCTCACCTTCCGACACTGCATCCGTAGGTACTGGCAATATTGTCGATGGCATCAATCGGTCACGAACGACAAGTCCAGCAACAGCTTCTACCGCGTCGGTTCGCACACCTTCCGACAAGGTACCAGGACCTGGACCTTTCGGCTACTTACCGGAACACAATCAGCAACTCTTCAACCTTGGCAACGGCCTATCGAACCCTCCCAACCCGTTCTCAAGCGCACCGACACAACAGGCTGGACTACAGACGTCGCCTCAACAGCCCCCATCATTGGCATACAACGAAATGAGCCCGAAGACCACGATGGACAACAGCATACCTTCCTATAGCTACGCACCCACAGGCCAATTCGCGCCGCTACCCACCACCTTCGCGGAGCTACCTACGTGGAACCCGACGTTCACGATGCCGCCTCAAGACAACTACAACATGACAAATATGCAGATGGCTTCATCGCCGTTCTATAACGAGGCTTACGCAGCGAATCAAGGCTACGAAATGGCAGACTATCTCAACCCGGCCTGGAGTCAAGATGCTAGGGGGACTGGGCTCAATCAGCAACAACAGATGGAGCTGATGCACGACTTTGAGATGAACGAGGCAAAGAACATCGAGATGATGATTGAACAGAGTCACCAACTTTTCCGTCCACCGCAACTACAGCAAACCTACTGAGCGCGCAGTCACTGTGCGACCATCATACCAGAACATTAAACACACTAGGTCCTCGCTGATCTACATTGGGGTACGAATACGGATATACGCGATTTAGTGTGGACGACAACCCGGTCGGCTGCCATCTCGATGTTCAAAGATCTGACGCATCCTTTCTCGCATTAGAAGGATCATTTCCCGGCTTGGCATTCGCGTACGAAAGGTTCTCGCATGCCGATCTTGTCGATCTTATCCAGCAGATTCGTCCGGTGGCAGCTGAATCAGATCATTGCATGGGCAAAAGTCTCTGGGGGCCAGAATCATACTTTCGCCCCAGGGATCCTGAGTCGTCTAGGATGGTCCCTGCACCTCGGTCAACTTTGCGAAGTCTAGCCTGTGTCGGAAGTCCAGAGTTCCCCATGGGTCGCAAGCGGTCGGCTCCGATGAACAGACCTTGGGGAAACAAACGCATCGTCCTGCAAACACGAACTCAACGAAAGCCCAGACCGGGATGGCTGGTTCGAACATCGTGAAGGAGATGTGATTGTAGGTTCATAGCAGAGTCTCTAGGCAGATGCATGACATGCAGCCCAATAAGGAAGCGCTCAAAGCAACAAGACACCGTGCGATATAGATATTCAGCTGGACTGAATAAGCTTCACATACAATGTATAACAATCATGATCAACTCGTCCATCCTTTCATTCCGAGTCGTGCCTGCTGCCATATCGCATTCCTTATCATCACTTTCCAACCTTCCACAGACCTTCCATGTCTCTCTGCCCTCCTCTCCCATCCTACTCACCCTCCTCAACCCCACCCAACCTCCCCACCTCCCTATCAACCCACCCCCCAACCCTCCCCACAACCTCCTCAACATTAACATCAACCTCCATCTCCTCCCCATCACTCTCATCCACAACCTCCTCCCACACATCCCTCATAACCTGGTACACCCAACACCCACCCTTCATCACCGTAACATGCTCCCAGTCGTTTACAATCGGCCGTGTGTCGTCTAGTTCTTCGATGAGGTCGATGAGGCTGGTTAGCGGCTCGGATTGGTGGTCCGACAGGATGTTTTCGAGGGCGATGCGCGCGCCGCGGGTGAAGGGGGGGAGGTCGCGGGGGGTTAGTGGGGGGAAGGGCGCGAAGGTTTGGGGTGTGAGGGTGGTTGCGCTTGGGGTTGTTGGAGAGGCAATGGATGGTGTGGCGTTTTTTGAGCGAGATGATGGAGATGATGGAGGTTGTGGGCGTAAAACAGATGGATTAGCGACGAGCGGAGGCGAAGGGCTGTTTGGTAATACGGCGGTGTCTGACCACGTGTCCGAGAAGACATTGTCTTGTGCCGGTGTAGCGGTCTCCGGGGCAGGCGGCTCGAACAACTCAAAGGGTGAGGACATGGCACCTCTTCGCGGCCGTGTCGTAGTATTCCGCTTTGGCTGTGGAGCTACCGGAGCCTTTTCCCGCATCTTCTTGACTGATGGCGTTGGTGTTTTGGGCTTCCTCGCATCTGGCTTGGCCTTGGAGTTGTTAGTAGGTTGTTTTCCACGTGTGGTCATGCCGCTTCGCGTCTGCCGGGTCTCGCGCGTCGTACCGTTCCTTGAGATGGGTTCTGGGTCGGCCATATCGACATCGGCGTTCTTGTCTTCATCCACTGCCACTTCTTCCTTCCTGCCAAAGACAAGTGTCTTTAGTTTGCTCGTAGTCTTGGTCGCGGGCTTGGCTGCAGCTTTCCGCGTCTTTCGCATCGTCTCTTGCGCGATGTCGGTGGGGGCATTGTTCTCCATCTCCTCGCCTTCGTTATCTGAATCTACAAATTCTGCACTCTTGTATTTACCCTTCGGTTTCCCCTTCGATTTGCCCTCCGGGTTCCGTGGACGTCCGCGCTTGGGATGGAAATTGGGTGTTGAGATGTGTGCTGGGTTGGGCGCAGACGGTCTACGGGTCTTGAGCTTGACGATGAGACTTGGTCGGTTGGTGAAATTTTCGTTGTCGGGCGTCGGCGAGGGTAGGTCGGCAGATGGTTTGCTGGGTGTACTTTCGGCTTGCTGTTTGTCCGTTAGCTGGATCGTTCTGAAATGTAAAGAGCGGTATACCTACTATGGATAACCTGCTACTCGCACGAGTATGTGATGATACAGCTACAGTGTTTTGCAGTTTCCTGCTCCTGGTCGTGGGCGATGAGGGTGTGGGTGAAAGCGTAGTGCTCGTGTCTCCCAACTCAGAATTGAGACCGAAGAGATGGCGCTTAGGATTCTTCGCGTCGCTATTGGGCGTGCCGTGGGTCAGGCGCATTCTCTTTTGCCTGGCTTCCACTGCGATAGCTATTCTGGCGGCTTCGACGTCTTTCGTCTTCTTTCGGCCTCTCTTGAGCTTGCCTTTTCCTTTGGAGGGCTTTCCGTAGTCTGACTCGGATTCGTCGATTTGTTCTTCCGAGCTGTCTAGCTCACCGTGATCTGATAGCTCTCTCGATTCTATGACTTCTTCCATCTTATGTGACTGCTCGTGTGGCCGCTCATCTTCGTCTTCAGGTTGCTCGAAGGGTGTCGCGTCTTTCACCAGAGGCTCGTGCTCGGCAGTGTTTTCGCGTTTTGGGACCGACTCTGCATTGCGACGTGTGTTTTCGTCGTAAAGTGCTCCGATAGTATTGAGCACCCGCTGCAAAACAGAAACTACCGGTACTCCTGCCTTGATCGACTCCGGGAAGTCTACGTCGATGGCAGTGTCGAAAGCGAGTCGGCCACGATGGAGAATGTCGGGTAGCAGGTCCCATTGTGTCTCGAAGTTTATTCTGCGCTTATGGAGCTCTGCAAAGCTATTGATGTCTTCAAGTGTCCCATCTCTGATCGCATCGTTGATCTCCTCTTGAATGGAATCCATAGCTTGTTGTCGTGCTGCAACGAGAAGGCGGGGTGGAACAGATGATAGGGATGGAAAGTGGAAAGCAGTGCGCGAACAGGAGTCGCAAACAGACGGGACCCTTTAGTTGTGATCCTTGCGCTAAATATTTCTTCAGGCTTGGGGGAGGGCTTGATGATGTTGCGACACGGCAAGTTCAAAGACTACCTAGGTAAGTAAGTGGGAAGTGTGCTCGGGCCCCCTGTTCGGCTCGTCACGGCCAATTTACTACACGCAGCGCAGCTGCCGGTCTTGTAAACGCTCATAGTCGCGCCATCAGACGGAGACTACAACTAGCAGCAAGTAGATCGCTAAGATACAAGTTCGAGGGTCTCTTCTCCGCGTCGCCGCTCGTATTGACCGTGATACTGACATTGCGATTTACCCGTGACGTGGGCGCGCTATGGCTTCTACGTTGAGCAATGTTGTAATCTTGTAGTGCGTAAAAGTCACTGGAAACCTCCAGGCTCATCGTCTGCTAAAGGTTTCATGCCCAAATACATGCGGCTAAAGCCGACATTTGCTTGAAGGAAAGTGTACGTTCGTTGGGAGTCCCTGCTTGAGACTACTGGGTCTCTTAGTGAAAGTGCTTTCCACGTTTAGCTACACGACGCTGTAACTGAGTGAGCGTGCAGTAGACCCACTGGATGCTTCTAGAATGTCGTTGAGTTGCAGCATGACCATTGCAGCAAACTTTGCCTTCTACATTAAGCGCGATCATAGTGGCTCGGTACTCACCATAGACATTTTTTCTTACGCACAACCGCCATAGGCATCACTACCTAGGTAACCCAGCATTGCTCGTACGAAGATAGTGACTAGCAGAAGCAGAAGAACAAGCAAGAAATGAAGCGGAAGAGAGATCCTCGCCTCGTCGAGATAGTATACATGAGCCCAGGGTGGAGCAAACTGATCGAAGTTCTGACACGCCAGCAAGCCTTTCGTGCCGGCGTGGACTACGTATGCGACATCCTCGTTGGCCTTGTCAGACATCCCGACTTATGCTATCCTCCTTCGTCGGTCAGTACTGTTTCTGCCAGCATCAACAGATGTAGATCACGCGTCAACAACTCCGGATCCACCGGAAGAGCTTCTTCGTTATCGTTTGTTCAAGACTTTCATGCTGGTGCCGTGACGGCTTTGACAAACATGGATCTGAGAGCAGTAAACAATCGACTTGAACGGGAAGCGAAAGTAATCATCACGTGTCTGGAAATGTTGGTGCACCATGAATTTGTACGTTTGATGGAGCTGGAGATATATGGAAGGCGGTCGGATCCGGACGCTATGCGAAGAATGGACGAGTTACGAACTGTCAGACGGATGGTGGTTACGATAAAGCTGATGAGGTGAGTCTCGGAATTGAGAGCGATGGTGTCGGAAGTGAAGTACGGTTCAAATATTCAGGTATGTCGTCCTTTGGCATGCTGGAGGTCTTGGTCATGTTCGTGACGTAGAGAAGAAGGAGCATTCGCGTGTGGTGACGTAATGCCGATGAGCCGACTGGCCAGGGTCCAAAGCTAAGCCCAATCCAGACTAAGCCTCCTTTTGCGTGCTGAAAGTCAACAGAATCCCTTTCATTGTCATCTCCTCTGTGCGCATTCGTTCTCTACATGTTTTCACCATCGCACGCTCGCTCGCCGAACTTCCTATCTGCACACACTGCCAAATGCACAACGGATTACCTAGGTGTCGTGTTTATAATCAGCATAATGTGACAGCAAGGTCAAGGTGAAATGACAAAGCGTGCATTTCACACAACACGACAAGGCACTCGAACTGTATATCATGAGTCCCACCGTCGACGCAAATCATTCTACGCCCCGTCGCTCAACTAACCTTGTCTCAACCACCAGATGACCACCCAGCCACCGCTGTCGACGGATCTCAGAAACCCAAAAAGAAATCTAGAATTCCACGAGACAATAACGCCACCCAGGACCATGCCTGGCAGCTACCTAATACCAACAGCTTGGACAATCCATTTTTATACGCCACCACCCAATACACTATTCTCTCCAGTCTTGTCGAGCACCTTCGGCCCCAAGATGTTCTCCGGCTAGCTCAAACTTCACAGACGGTGTACTCAAACTTGGACTTCTCAAGTGCCGCTAGCCGTACCAATCTCCGTACAAAGGTACTGTGCCCAGGCTTTGGTGTCCAACAACGCAAGCATAAGCACAAGCCTGCTAGCGAAGGGGAATGGTACGTCCAAGAATCTTGTGGCAGCGAGATCAACGACCCAGATATGGAGAGCCGTCCGTGTGTCACCTGTGGCATGAACACTTGCGATGAATGCAGGTTACATGTGACGTATCATTCCATGACCGAGGATAATGGACCACACGGATTAAGGTGGTGGGCAGGCCACATCATGACGAGGAACGCTCCCGTTCGCCTTCTCCCGCCTAACGATCCCATCTACCGGTACCCACCTGAAGACGATGAAGAACAGCCACCCTGGAGGCTACCGCTTGGCAAAATTCGACCTCAGCATGATTGTGGCCGTCTCGGCTTACCATTCGACTCCAATCAAGTGGCCCAAGCCGAACCGATTGACAATCTAATTGATCAAAATCTTGGCGATACTCTATTCGTTAGAACCAAGGGTCATTCATATGGGTCTTCCGGCTTCAGGCCTGTCGTCGGACCGCTGTCTCTGGTTGCTGGGGGTCGTCTTAAGCGACTGTGCACGACGTGCTCAGCCACCGAGGTCAAGCACCAGTGTACTTGCACACTTCGAAAGCGGTTCCTCGACCAATGGCTGTGCATTGAATGCTACCTCGAGAACGAAGTTGAAGTTGATGTTACGCGAATGATGAATATGATGGCGGGAGATGAGCCAGGAGAATGCCCGTGTGGGAGCTCATTCGATACACAGGACCAAGATTCGTGGTTTGTATGCAAGTGGTGCGATGGCCGGGTGATCGGGTCTAAGAAAGCCACTGAAGATGAGGAAGCGGCAAAGTGGTTCGTTCCGGATGAGGAGGACGAAGACAAGGAAGGCGCCTGGCCGGAATTTCTTCCAGATGGGGACCGGCCCAATCTGGATGGCACTCGGATTGACCAAGCCATCATGGCTGCGGGCTCTGCCGCGCCTGGTCTGCATGGTCACTTCGTCTGTCAAGAGCGTCTTACCCGGAAGCAACATGTGCAGATGGCCGAATACAAGAAGAAAATGGAGGAGGGCAAAGAGAAAGAATTCAGTTTCAATTCGTACCGCCCTCATAGCTTATGAAGCAATGACGGGGAAGTTAGGGGTTCAGCTTGCGATGTATATCGGAGCTGTTCCAAAACCATAGTATACACTAGCATCCACTCATAGTTCAATGAAAGTAGTCGAACAATAATGGGAGAAGCCAGACGATCATAGGAAGATCTGTTTGTCACATACACTTCTTTGTAGTCAAACTAATTCTACCATAGCAAGCGTCCATGTGCCGATCTAGATATTCATATACGTCATCAAAGTGTATCATCCATGTTGTGCACTGAACATAAGCTTCTCAACTAGGAGGCGAACTTGTACTAGATATACAGATCTACACACATACACATACACTTCCGTCTAATGTCTCACAACACATTCTTCCCGTTCCTAGACGATGCCGCCTACTCCCGTCGCCGCAACGCCGAACTCATGCTTGCATACCAGCAGCAGAAAAACAAGATCGAAGCAATGGCACCATTTCGTACGCCTGAGTTGAATGAGGAATGCAGTACCAAGTACAGGGATCTACATGCGAAATTGGGCGATGTGCAAGAGCGCGACAACATTGTGAGGGAGGCGATGAAAATGACTCCGGGGAACATGACGCGGGATGAGATTATGACTTGGAGCTTGAGGAGTGAAGCATATGGTAGCGAGAATAGGTACCCGACAGGTGCGATGTAGCACATGATGGGGGGTAGTGGAGGTACAGTCGTCTGTGAAAGCTATGGTAGTGAGGAAATGTATTATTGATACGAACATTCTGTGCTTCTAAACGGTAGCCATTCTTGAGCGCCGATGATGCAAATGATGATGCTACGCCAGACCGAGACACCAATTACGCTAATACGCCCGACATGCAAAACGCCGATACCCGAGAAGGGTCAAAAGAAAAAACGACGACGCAGACATCTATGCTTCTTCTTGAGCCGCTGGCATCCCTGACCATGCAGTCGATGTACAACTCGTGCGCGCCTCGTGCTCATCAGCCTTCCTCGCATCGCGAACCGCAGCGTCAACGGCGTCGTGGAGATCGAGATGGAAGAACGGCCTATCAACCCCGTAAATCGGGTAAAACTTCTGCTTCTCACTTGTAGAAGACAACTGCACCTCAAGTGCATTCGTCTCGGTTGAGTCTTTGCCCTGTTCTTCATCTCCGGCTCCCATCTGTCTCCGAGCAGCTTCTACTTCCTTTTGCTCTTCGCATGTCGCGCCTGCAAGACTTGCCGATACGGTGTAGACAGGACACCAGGTTCCTGTATATTCCGCAGTCACTACGGCTGGGAAACCAAAGCCTGCAAAGGCGAGCGCTTTGCGTGTCCACCGGTTGTGAACACCAGCAAAATGCCATTCTACCAAACCGGGCGCTGCATGGCGATCAAGCGTCTCGCGTAAGCTCTTCAACCCGTCGATGCTGGTAATGTCGAGAATGTTGACGGTGGAGAAGTCAAGAACAACGGCTCGCAAGACGGGCAGACATGACGATTCTTCGATGAGCTTCTCCGTGGGTGGCGCGTCGCACCACAAACGATCGCATGCGCGGATACCGTCATCTGCTTGTGTTCGGCGGGTGTTTGAGGTAATGTAAGAGGTAAGGTAGTCAACATGATAAGCTTGGTTGATGTAGTTGAAGTTCTCGCTAAAACGATAGATGAACACGCCGGGGTAGGCCGGCTCCACGGTGATGTTCGGGTTGTGGTTGTCTGTGACGTCGTAGGGCATATATACTTGCCGAGCTTCCTGTATAGCTACAGCACGATGCGTCTGTTTCCCGTGTGTTTGTGAAGGCAGCGACGCGCTTGACGTTGATACGGACTGATCGCAGGAGCGGTCGTCACGCACGATGCGCGTCACCTCAACAGCACCTCGGAACTTGCCCGGGCTTTTCGCCATGCGGACGAGCAGCATTGCAAAGGAGAGGCCAACAGTAATGTAGATCGCCGTCTCGAGATCGGTGAAGAATGCGATGACAACACCACAAACCCAGATGAATAGTTCGAACGGCGACAGCTGGTAGTACTTGTGCAAGTCCTTTGGTCCTTTGATCAAATCGACGGTGGAGTGTATGATCAGACCAGCAAGTGCTGCGTTCGGGATGAAGTAGAAGACAGCTGTAAGCGCATACAACGCCAACACTAGGACCACTGCGCTGAAGACACCGGATAACGGAGTGCGTACTGCAGCCTTGGAGAGAACGGCAGAGGCACCGAAAGAGCCTGTGCACACATAACCACCCACAAAAGGACTCAGTATGTTGGCAGCGCCTTGTGCGATCATCTCCTGTGAAGGGATGACGGTATAGTTGTGTTTGCGTCCGAAGTTCTTGGCGATGGCGATGTGTTCGACGATGAGGATGATGATGATCGCCGGGAGTTCTGTAGCCACCAAGCCGAAGAGCTTTCCGTCCATCTTTGGTACACCTGCATGGCTGAACCCCTTCTCAATATGACCTACGATCCGGAACTTCTCTTCGCCTGCAGGTGTCGTCCTATGTACCAGCCAGCTGATAAGGGTGTACAACAAGATAGTGAATGTAAGACGTAGCGAGGAGATCATAGACCACATCTTTTTCTTCCGAGGTTGTCGCACCTCCATCTTAGCGCATAGGTTCTTGATCAAGTATAGGAGTACGATGGATGTGATACCGATCGCCGCATCCAGTCTTGCCGTGGGTAAGCCCTTCAAGAAGTTGACGTACACCTTGTACGGAGACTCACGCGTGTTGATCCCTGTAATGCCCATCAAAGTCGGCAGTTGTGTCGAGATGATGGTAATACTGGCCGAGGTGACGAATGCGGAGATGGGGATGTACGGGATGAACTCGATGATGAACCCGAGACGAAGGATGCCGAAGACGAGAATAATCGCGCCAGCAAGGAAGCTTAGTGCATGTGCGATCTCCTGAGGTTGATACACCCCGGGGTGTTCTGCTTCAACTTTGCTGACGGCGCTTCCGATAAGTAAGGACCCAACTGCTGTCGTCTATTCTTAAATTAGCTGGTTACGACATAGTGACTTGAACAACTTACACCGATGACAATGTCTCTAGATGTACCAAAGATCCAATATAAACATGCGCCTGTAAATGTAGTGTAAAGACCAAAGGCGGGTGACAGCCGCGCGAGCGAAGCATATGCCATGGCTTGTGGAACGACAACAAGACCAACCGTGATACCTTCATGTTCTTTAGCGATGGCCAGCAAAGGATCCAGGTGTTTTGTAAATACCAGCGATAGCATCTCCAGCCAGCCAATGTAAGTTATACCGCCTCAGCCACCGTGCGCTCGGGAATAGTTCGCGTACATACTCTGCGGCGCCATGTGAGGTGGGAATGAATTCACGGAACCATTCTGCTACCGATGGATCCTCTTCGATGTATGTCTCTCCAACTGTTTCGTGCGCAATGTCCTTAAGTGAAGTCCTCTGCGCGCTGCGGTCTTCTGAAAAGGTGGGTAGATATTTCATAGTCCTGCTGTTGATGTCCGTAATTATGTGTGTGTGGATAGAACCAGGCTACCAGAGAAGAACTGCGACCTTAAATCGATAGGCGCATATACGCCGAGTCAAAGTGATGTAACAAGAATGAGGTTGTGGTAGTTGCGTCCGGTCAAACTTGGTACGCCAATTTGGCAGGTCGTGGAATTAATACAATGACGAAGTTGTTTGCAGAGAGAAAAGAGGAAATCACCAGGTTATGAGTAGACGGACCGAGCGTCTCTGTAGGAATCGGGACGTGTTATCCATTGAATTGACGCACAGTCATGCGCTGTGCTTGGAGCATTTCACCGATGTTCCGAAGAATTCTTCGGGCGAGAGGTCTTGGCAGAAGTCGCGCCGATAAGATACTGCAACCCACCGCTGTCACTGCCATCTCGAAACGCGACACGCGTCTGAAATGCCATGATTCGGTCTCTTCGAAAGTATTGCATCCCTTTCGTGGTATTTTGACGTCTTCATACGTTCAATACGCGTGTTGAACATATCCAGTCGCGACGCGTTGAGTTCGGTACCTCGCCGGCAGGTCTGGCGAGATCCGCGGATTCACGAACACATCTTGGCAAAACGGAAGTCGGTGTGGCAAAGCCGCAATGGACGATGTTGGGACGTGAGGAGGTGCAGGTGACGATGGGGATGCGGCGACGAAGCGATCAGGAACAGTGCTCTGGTCCATGTGTCAGTGCCAAGCTTCACGCCACGACACTACGGCAAGCTTCAGGGGTCCACTTCGAGCAAGTGGTCGTGCGCGCTGCGGGGAGGAACCAACAGTTTCGTCACCTGGTCATTTGGGTGTTCGACTGACAGACGACGTGAAGCTTTCTCTGGCTCAGCCTTTGACGTATCGACTGAAATGCCTTCTCTAATTTAGTACTACGTATGTAAACAGGCTAGAGACATCTCCGAAGAAAAAGCGGTCACGGAGGGAGGATTTCTACAACTTGACGCGACAAGCAAATGTACATCGCATGTGGCGATCATCTTGGTATGTATGTATCTTGCCGAACGGGACTAGGTTCATGCATTCACCGGTGGTGCCCTGCGTGATCCTACCAGAACAAGCGTGCAGTAGACTCTTAGTCCAGTCCCCATGGATCTTCGAAACCAGCAGCTGACTCGACGTCTTCTAGATCCGGTAGATCTTCGTCATCGTCATCGTCGCCATCTTCCATTGCCCCGTCTTCATCACCCCGTCCTTCAACATCATCGTCCTCGCCTTCAACATCATCGTACTCGTCTTCTGATTCACCCCCCGCGTGAGCATGCATAGAGTCTTTCTCGTCGCAAATACAGCAAGTGCATTCAACGTGCGCACCCTGGATTCTCTTCCATTGACGGATCATGGCTCGTCCCAAACGTTCTCCGCGGATGCACTCGCCGTTCACGTACACCGAAAGAGACCCGTCGCGATTCTCAGCGTAGCCAAACTCGTCCTGAGGCAGACCCGCAAAGTCAGCCGCCGAATGGTCCTCCTCGTCGTCTCCGGTCTCGAGTTCCTCTTCTTCTTCGCTGTTGTCTTCGGCGTTCTCACTGGTGGCATCATCCTCGGCGCCTTGGTCAAGCTCTGCAATCTCGCCTTTGCACCAGTTGCACATGACTTTCGGCGTGATGTCTGGTGTGAACTCCGTTCCGCAACCACACACATGAACGTGGCCTTGACCGACCTCGCTTGCTTTTACGACATGGCAGCGCAACTGTTCATCAACATTTACCTCCTCGATGTAGCAGTGCATACACAACCATCGGTCTAGGAAGCGCTTTCGTAGGGTGCAAGAACAAGGCGCCACACCTTGTTTCTGGCGTTCCAGGTAACAGGCAGGGCATGCGAGGTCTTTGCGCTTGTTGACAGTCAGGTTGAGGAATGAGACGATGTTGTTGCCAGAGTAGGGGAATTGTGTACGCCCACGAGGACTGATGAACTGGTGGGTGCCCAAATCCAGATCGAGAATCGGCTCAATCGGCTCGGGATCGCCTAAAGCACCGATGTCGAGGGGAATGTGCACGCGGCCCTGGTCATGGCGAGGTAGCATCTCCTGGACAGGTAGATGCCAGGCGCTACCATCAGAGTTCCTAGCTGGATATATTGCAACAGCCGTGGGGTTGAGGAAGTAGTAGCCTGCCCACCATCGACGTTGATCGAGCCCCGCATCGTCCGTCATGAAGTTGTAGAAAACATGGATGCGGCACTCGTCGCAAGTGTTGACACCACATCCCACACACGGGTGTGACTCTGTTCCAAATCCACCTCTCGAGCAAACCATCACAGGATGGAATGTCTTCGCTGGACAGGGGCAATGAGTAGACATCCTGACGAACGAACCGAATCCGGAGCACAGTGTCTTGGAAAGAAGATTGGCTTTTGCGCTCGCATCGTCCATGCGAATGTGGCCATGAACAGTTTGGCAGAGCTGGGTAAGAGTGACGAGTCTCTCCGGTATCAGGAACGCGACTAGGGCCTGCAGATCAGAATTAGTCAGGCGCATAGATTGAGAGGCTCAGGGACGTATGCCTTACTTCTTGTATTGGGTACAGGGCCAGAGCGACCGCGAGGGGATTAGTGATATTTGATACCGCCGGCGGTAGCGTCCAGACGCGCTGCGCTGTCTGCTGCACTGACGACATCGCACAAAGCCTTCTTGAATGCTTGCAGGACTTCAGAGAGTATTGAAGCAGTCGCAATCGCAGTAGAGCACGCCTGCACTGTCTGGCCTCGTCGAAAGGATGGTTCAGGTACGACTGTTCGATTAGCGATTGGGTTTACTTCCGCATTGCAGGGACGCGAAAGAGGAAAACGGGAGTGAGTGCAAATTGCATCAGGTAGGTACCCGGGTGACGTCGTTGCGGAGTAAGAGCAGGAGAGCTGCGTGGCCCAAGTAGGCAGTCGCACATGGCACGTGCGCCAGTAGCAAACAAACACATTATCCACCCCCAAGTGAGATTAACAGCTACGGTGTCATGCCAACCCGGGAGAAAAACTGAACAGGTCTGCAGGCTAATGCAAAGTAGGAGACATAACGTTGATGTAGGCTCCGGGCCTGTTCAATCTTTTTCCATGTAGGAGTTGGCATGTTCAATACGTTGTTCAGCAACCTAGCCTCTCCGAGTGAGGGCCCATATCACTTGACGATGTCTCACCTAGAACTGCATTGGCAACTTACTCCTTATCACACACTTCCGACATTTCCCACGATCCCTTTTAGAAGCTCAGGGACCATAACCGCGGCATCACCTTTGAACATCCAGTCGCCCACCCAAACGCATCCAGGCTCGTCATAATACTCTTCCATATTGAAATATGCGACCCTCGCACCAGCGTTCCGAGCCTTGGGTATGTACATCGCAGCCGGAAGCACGACGCCACTCGTACCGATTACCAGCAACAGGTCGAGAGGTTCAGAAGAGACGAAAGAGTGTATAGCCTCGGTGAGGTTGCTTGATAGGCTTTCGCCGAAGAGCACGACGCTCGGTCGCATGAGGCTGTCGCACCGTGGGCAATGAGGGAGCTGGGTATGATCGAGAGGGGGCAGAGGGACGGACGCGTCGCTGATATCAGATGTGATCGTGAGCGCCTGGGTGGCAGGATAGGAGACAGGTGTATTGTAGTCGCAACGGTCGGTAGAGTCTAAGGCGTGTTTGCTGCATTTCATCTCGAACAGGGTGCCGTGTGCTTGTGCAATCTGCTCGTTGGGTATGCCCGCTCGTTGACACAGGCCTAGATTGTGTTAGTCGACATTCTTCCGGGCCATAGCCTTGAGAGGTCTGCTTACCATCTATGTTTTGATTAATTACGAAGAATCCACTCTTCTCCTTTGCGAGTTTCGCGAGCGCGATGTGCCCCCGGTTTGGCTTTGCCTCTTGTGCGCGCTTCATCCGATCGCTGAAGAACCACCATACCTTGACCGGGTCTTGCGCCAGGGCCTCGATATTCGAAAGCTCCTGAGGCTCTATACCTCTCCATCTTCTATCATCGTTGCGAAATGTCGAAAGCCCCGAAGCAACCGACAAACCAGCACCCACGAGGGCTAGAACGCGTTTCGATGATCGCAGGTACTCTGTGAAGGATGTGAACTCGTCCATGCCGATGTCAAGCGCCGGATCGGGGGTCGACATCCCGCGGAACTTGCGCATCTCTTGCTTCGCTCGAAGTGCTGATGTCGCCTTCGATTTGGTAGATGATGAAGTCTGGGGGTTTCGGGGCGGGTTGGGGTTGATTGCCCCGAGCGCAGTCGCCATTTCCTCGGTATGGGAACTACTTTCCGCTGTGGAAGATGCGTCACTCTTCATGGTGTTGGGTATGCCGTTGATGCATAGTGAAGCCTTTGAGCAATGCACCTAGGTATACTGAGTGGACGCCTTACATGGTTTGAGATGACTCATATGAGATTGACGTATCCGCGCACATCGCATTGATCAAATTGCAGTGACTCCGATCTCTACCTTAGAATCGTTGGGTACATTGCAACGCTAATCTGCCGGAGGCTTCTGAGGTAGTAACCTTGGAACGCATCGATACATAACCATGGTAACAGTAGTGAGTGCGCGATGTGTGTTTGTAAGGTGGCTCACATCTCGTTTCTCTGGAAGCAGGAGACCTATAAGTCTAGGATATCTGAACAAGACTCAGGTCATGACTATCGGCCGTACGTGATCTGTGTGAAATGCGCCGTGTCGGTGACGCGTGACCTCGGGAAGCTCAACGCGCCCATTCCAGGCGCGCGTTGATCAGCGCCCGGAAAGTATGGAAATCTCATCCACGGTTGAGGAGTGTTGCAACAGGTGTTGTACCATTAAGCTGAAGGTTGCATCCGTTAGAATGAATTTTGCGAGGTCTGCCCGTAGTATTGAGAACCGAGGTGCGTGCATGAGCGAGACGGGCTGGAAATGACGCGTAGAATACGCTAATTACGTCAGCGATGCGGCTGACTGTCATCCGACCACCCTCTTGCCGACACGTCTCATCAACTCCAAGAAATTTGCATCAGCCATTTGCTTCTTCGGAGTTCAGTCGACTCAAACACCGTGAATTACACGTCGACCTACTCTCTGGATCCTAACGACATGATCAACATGTCACTATGATGCGCGTACCGCCGACCCAGCCTCTTTCCCCACGCCAAAGCTACCACGACATTGCTCTACCCAACGTCTACAGCATAATCACAGCTTATTACATAAATGTCGACTAGACCCAGTTGTATACGGTGGCAGCATCGAGTCCGACCAAGTGGATGACTGTTTGCTGCTTTTCTTCAATCTCGCCTAACATTTCCCGCCTCCCCAACGCGATTGCAATACGGTCACACTCAGAGGCTACGTCAATCTTGATCAGCGTGATAACATGTTCAATTCAGGGGAATACATACAATCCAGACTGCGGAAGTCTCTTGCTTGTAATGGGAAGTCGATGATGGGCTCATTTGTCTGGATGTTGCGCATGTGACCCATTCTCATGTCCGGATATTTGTATGTACTGTGATATCGGCGCATCGCAGTGTTCCAGATACTATCATATGCTCATCAGTATGTCTTTCTCTGATCTGAATCCCCCAACATCACTTACTGTGCCTGAACTTGCTTGTTGAGAGCGGCGTGTCTGACATCCAGTCGATGTACCTTTTCGTCTAAATCCAAGACTTGCACCCGAAGATATTGTAAGGCGTCCTTGACGGCTCCGTCGCGTTGAGCCTCTGGGAGGGTTGAGATGCTTCGGATTTGGGCAGCAGTTGTCTCAAGCTGCAATGCGATATCGTAGGGGTTGTTCTGCATGATGGCAGCGGTATGTTGACGTATTCGATGGGCGAGTTCGAAGTGGTCTCTAGTCACCGAGGGGTCGATCAGCCTTTAACAGCAAATCGCAACGTCTGTGCATCTGCGAAAGGGTATTCGCGGGCATTCCAGAATATTCAATATTGCGCGCACTCCCTCGTCGTGGCTCTTGGGTGGTTCAAGCTCTCGATCCCCTCATAATCATTACCTCACGTCGACCAAAGATCCATCGGAGGGTCTTTCCAACATCATCTGCTCTTGTATACCAACTTCAACATGCGCAACAGACGAGCTGAGCTCGCCTTTCTCGAGTCGCAGCTACACTCCACAGTCGGTCAGTTGCATGCCATTTCCATCATCCCTTTGACAGCTAGTATGGAGTTCGCTGCTGTCCGCACCGAGATCAAGAACATCGAGCAACGCCTTGTCTCCCTGGAAAGGACAGTTGCAGGTCTCCATGACAATGTGTTGCGTCTTCGGGCTTCTATGGATGCCGAAAGTCGCATGCTGTCTGCTGTGCACAGAGACTTGTTGGTCAGGAAAGCGAGGTAAGTGCGCATAACGCTATGCTTTATCGTCATACTGGAACTTGATAGGGAGCACAACACAGACGCGACAGTCTATAATGCTCAAGCCAACCGACAGACGACTCTACTATCTCTCCACCATCCGAGGACAAACGAGCCGATTCGTGGTTTTCCCGACACTTTGGAATGCATTGACACCATGCGGCGTAAGTACGAGCTATGGCGTAGGCTATCGAAAAGTGCGAAGCTGACCGGCCGTACTTGCAGATCACGAGCTCGAATATGTGATCCGCATACTTGACTCCAATTATTATCGAGGCTCTTGGACTCTTGAACAAGAGCGAGCACGGCTCCTTGCTATCATTCAGGGTGTCGAGGAGGTTCGACCGACCGGGTTACTACCCTCGAGGGCTCTGGGGCATCAGTCACAAGATTGATAGCAGAATGGGAAGAGTGAACTCCATGCGCAAGCACACAGCCGCCGTGCCGAGTCACTAGTCGCGGTGCAGGAAATAGACGGTTCGGAGACATAGATTTCGAGATACATAAGAACTACTACACGTCTTTTTAGTCATAACATTCGGGCATTCCGAAACATATCAGCCTGTAACCAAATTGTAGACCACCGCGTAGTCCGTTAAAGCTCGGCTGTGTAATGCTACCCAGTGATATACCCAATCCAAAGATGCGCGTCCAAAACGGCATATGGCGCCGAGCGCATCTCAAATCGCGCGAGCGTCACGAACACGCTGTAAATATTTTTCCTTGAGAGATATCTTCTTTGCGCAGATAGGAACGGGGTGCTCCTCAAGCTCTTGCGTTGAAGATACTTTTCTTTTTCGAGAGGAGGGGTGCTCCTCAAGCATGCCAGACTCCTTAGGCTGGGCTTCTTCTTGCGACTGGCCACTCAAACGGGCACTGAGGATTTGGTACTCCTCGCACAACTTCGGGAACTTCTCCACTACAGCAATGTCGAATTCCTTCATGTGTATACCCAGCTTTAGTGCTGAAGCGAGGTTCTCCTTGCTGTCCGTAGCGCGTTCTTTGAATCCACATAAGTTCTTGTTCTTTTCCAGAAACGCTTCCGGGGAATTGTAGTACGCAGCAAAGCGATGAGCTTCGAGTAGTCTTGGCGAGAAATCGGCTTCGTTACGTACGCTTCGGAGGGCGTCGTTCTTGTTTTCGCGAATTCGTTTCTGAAGATCCTTGATCTTGGAAATCTCGGGTGTGGATTCTGGGTGTGCTGCTGTGTATTTTGTCTCTATGGCGTTGATGTCTGCGAGGAGTTGGCCGGTCGCTTGTACGACTGCATTCCAGTTGGCGAAGCCGGAAATGATGATTGACTTTTGCAGGGCGCCGGTCAAGGCATCATATCGGTCTTGATCAGACATTGTGGGGGTAGCGGTTGATTCCGCAAGATGAACTGCGCGTAGGCTGCAACGTCGGGCGACTTTGTTGTAGGAGATGGTCGTGGATGATGGTTCTGGATGATAGTTGTGGGAGAAGGTTGTGGGAAATGGTTGTGGGAGATGGTGTGGAAGATAGTTGTGTGCGCCGAAGCGAAGAGTCACATATACTTTCGCCGCATAGTTCTTGAACCACGGTTCTTGGGCAGTTCTGCCGGAGATATAGCGAAAAGGTCGAGCAACTCGGCATACATTGGTTCTACTCGACAAGAGGGGCAATGTTTTCTGTTGCACAGCCAATCTCCTCTCTCGAATACATACACATCTAGTGCTATGGCATCCGTGCTCCAGACACGGCAATGAAGGCCGCCGTCCAAATTCTCATTGTGCGCAAGTGCCCTTTGCGCCTGGCTGGGCTACCCAGTTTGCACTCGCATAGGACGTCGACTTCGATGACCTTAATACTGGCAAGGTGATTAGCGCATCAGTCATCAACCGCTCTAAACTACATGGTCACTCACCTTCGGCTCGCGGTTATCCTCAGCCAGCTCTGGTCGTTGGCGTGACGGCAGCAGGGATGCCAAATCTTCGCTGGTATTCGCATTAGCTTCTCACCTGGTCGAATAGGTGCTCAACGTTACCAGAGATGTATCTTTCTCCAAGCACGTTTGCATGAATTGATCATCGCCCAACTTCTCTCTGCGCAGCTGCGCAAGCTTTCGCGATATCTCCGGACTTCTTCGCGCGCAAGCTACTACCCACCCTCGCGACCTCAGTCTGTGAGCTCTGTGCAGCCACCGCGCTCATAGGCTGCGTGCGCGGCTGCTCGGCCGGTCTCCAAATCATCGTCCAGAGCTCGCTTGCCAGGTTCATCGTATAATCGAAAGCGCCTTCCACTAAAGGCCATATCGGCTGGTGATGATGGTGGTCCATCGCGCGGGGTCGGTTACTGTCTTGAATGCAGATTTGGGTATCGTATTTCTTTCGGACTCGTTGTGTGCCAGAGTATGTGTTTTGTGAGGATGTTCGGCTATAGAAGGTGGTAGAAACGCGCCGAGAGATAAGGTCACAAGATAAGGGTCTTGATATGGCATCGCAATGATTGGAGCAGCGCAGTGGGTCCAGCAACCTTTACAGTTTGTATCCTCATGAACCCCGCAGGTAAGGACCGACCGCCTCTTCCTGTCTTCTTCTGTCTGCTATTGTACCGCGCTGATCATAGCCGATGCCGGTAGTGTACACGCTGGCGGTGTGCAGCCACTCCTTCCATCAGACTCACCGACTCAGCATTGCGCTTGTCGTCGCAAGAGTCGAGCGCTACTGCAACATGACTGCTTTCTTGTTGGCAACAGCCTGAGCAAGGCCTTCTTGCCTTTGCGGCCCATCCCGTTCGCCCTTGCCGCACAGCTTACAAAGAGAAAGACCGTCTTGGTGACATTGATGAAGGAAAGTTGAGCGGATGCTGAGATTACTATGGCACTTACCTAATAGTGAAATGAAGATACAGAAAGACGGAATTTGTGGCTAGATGAACAGGTTTCAGGAGATAGAGGTAGCGTTGACTCGATGGTGAACATGACGCCTTGAAGCATATTCAAAAGTTCGGTTCTTCGGAAAAGATGCCACGTTAAGGAAGCTAGCAAAATGTCGCGATGAGATAAGGTGAAGCAATGAGATACATACGGATACTATTCGCCGTTCGTGATGGCTATGTTGAGACTCAGGCTCAATAATTCAGGATAGCAAGTCAACTGTAGGCAATCGCTAGTTTCTTTACGTGAGTTGTCAAGTCCTCTGAAGTCGCGACGCGTCTGTAGAGATTGGACATTGATCTGGAGGACACCGTGATATCGGTCCGCTGACCAAGGAACAGACCAGTACTCGATTCTAAAAGAATGTTGTGGATATACTCAATGTGTGGAGAAAGCCATAGCAACATCGAGGACTATAGTCAAATGCAAGCGCACGTATAAAGAAAGCTCCTCAACGTGATGATGGAAGAAAGTGGCTGGGGATGCCCGCTCTTACGTCATGCGAAGCACGGACATTGTCCGGAGATGACTCGGATCAAGCTGGACATTTTGGAAAGACAAAACATCACCAAATGACATCCCAGAAGCTTCTTCGCATAGCTTTGCACAACGCAGCGCTATGCACCTGGAAGGTTTGTCAATTAGGTGAAGTTCGCGACTGGAAAGTACATGGTATCTGGGTAGAGGACGAGGCGATGCGGGTGCTTACTCCGGAGGCAGCATCGGCCGGCAGTACCGCTTCTGAAACACGCCATCGTTTGGCCTGATGTCTCAGGCATCAAGGTCGGCCCATGATAATTTATGGCAAGAGCTGAACACTGGGCAGCGAAGTCTCGCACAAGTCCTGCTGAGTTGCTTCATCTACTCAAGGAAAAGAGCGAAGAAGTTGGGGCTACGTCTAACCGACGGGGTTGAACTTGCGCCTAGAGTGAGCAGCGAAGCCGATCCGAACTGTTGTTCAGTGCATCACGGCAACGGCGGATTATACTAACAGCAGGCATGGCAGAACCTATTCGCCTCCCGGCGCCGACCACCAGCCGTTGGTCGACACCATGGCTATACCACCAGAGGCGCGGATCGCAGTGGAGCCGCTTGAACCACTCTGGCAGCCATCAGCCGGCTGAATGTTCTTGGTAGCGATCACACCAGCCAGCGCTGGGCCACGAAGAGAAGGAAGAAGGAGCACAACCAAAGTCGAGCAAGAGGATGTCGAACGGGGCGAAGTTTTGTCAGCATGGTCGATGCCCTGAAGGATCAAGAGGCCCTCATTGCTGTCCCCGGAACCCAGGTCTACGTTGTAAGAAGCGCATCAAGGACAACATGCACAACAGTGCCGATCAATTCGGGAGATTCGTCGCAAGCCCAACACCGTTGGGACTTTGGCACGGGAAGCGAGCGCTGCCAATAGCACCCCCATCACTAAGTCTCTCAGCCAACAGCGCGTGCACGGCAATGTCCACCTGGCTATAGCCGCTGTCTTATTGCGCGGCGAATAATATATGACAGCGCATCGTGATTGTGCTATCGTCAGCGTT